GACCCGGCGGCTCACCGGAGTCCGCTGGAGGTCGGTGAGCCTCAAGGAAGAAACTTTTCATAAAACTTCAAAGGCTCAATTTTATTTACTTCAGAACAAAAATTCAGATTATAACAAGTTACAGAGAAAAAAGAATAATAAAAAGTTGAACAAAAAACAGAGATAAAGGGGTTGAGAACTAAGACAAAAACGGACAGTCCGGAGATCTTATTCTACAGCTTCTCTACCACCGTCCAGCAACAAGCACAAACCACCTCACAAACCAACAACCCCAAACAACCTGCAGTTCTCCGGTCAAACTGCCCCTTTTATAATACCAGTAAGTCGGAGATTCAGGAAAGCCCCCAAAAAGCACGGAGAAGGGAAAACTCTGACATCATTCCTGACAAGTGTCCACCTGCACTTGGGCCGAACTTCTGTCACTTCTGTCTATTACATAACACAAACATATCTCAACACCAACATGTATATTTTGCGTTGTACAGTTTTAGATGACATGCACATAAAACATAAGAAAAACCTAGAACACCTGCACATATATAGGTGTGTCAATAAGGATGACTTTATACCTCTTATAATACCAAGGTTAATCCTAGGTAAATCTACAGAGCATCGCTTTTATATGTACTCCACAATATGGCTGATTATCTTATCAAAAAGTATTTGGTCGTACTTATAAGATCATAATACATAGGCGCCTGGGATTTATGTGTCTCCTTTTCTTATCCTAAACCGTAAACAGTTCTTTGTCCTTAAAACGTCACATAACATTATCAATTTTGCATATCATGCTATCCTCTCAACACAGATTCTATGCTGTTAATGTTCTTAGATATCATCTTATCAGAAACCATTTCTACCGAAGAGGAAGTTACAAAGATGTTACTTTTGCAGCACATGTTATTTTGGGTGACTGCTACTGTTTAATACTGATGCGTTTTCACACATATTAGCAAGTAAACTTCGGGAGTCGTTTTATGATGATTTGTAACAACACAAATATGTTACTGATGATAAAACGAGCTGAACTGAACAACTTTCAAAAACAGCAACAGGAATGAGTCTATGAATTCGTGACATAGGGAAAATCTCACTTGACATACAGACAGAAGAGGGTTATAATATGTTGACAGCTTCCCGGCGCACATCATTTGGCAACAGACGGACTGCAACTGTTCCTCCAATGAATTCAACAAAGTTACATATTTGCGTAGATTGCGTCATCGCAGTCAGTCTGTAGGAAACAAAGCGATCTTTTACTCTTGCAAGAAAACAACTAACGAATGAATTAAAAAAATGAACATACCTCCATGTTGCCATAGAGATGATCGTTGTCAAAGATGTCATCAAAATATACATCTTCATAACGCTTCTCTTTTCTGAGGATGAAGAAAACACGTTTTTAATGAACATTAAGGATTATTCTAGATTATCTTTGTTGTGTCATTTTACATCATTAGCATTGTCTTGTTCAAACTAAAGTGAATGACAGAAACCTTTTAGTAGCAGAGCAGTGAGGGAGCGCCACGTCTTTGTCCGTCTTCTCAGGGACGATGTGACGTGTTTGTGCATTAGCAGATTTCCCCTTGCTGGGAGAATAAGGGTTTTTACTTTGAGAAAAGTAAAATAAAACAGATAAAACATTTCATAACAACTGAAACCAAACAATGCAAACTGCAAAATCGAACTTGGAAGCTGAGTTTCGGCACCCACTTGGTCAAAAGGACGAGCTTCTACTATGATGAGACACATTTGCTTTTCAAATTGGAATTATATATTCATAAAATATACTAGAGGGGGAAAATAGACATAACAGACAAGCAAAATACATTTTCTATTTAGTTTTATTTAAACTTACCATTTTTTAAAAACGCTGACAGCTATTAAAACCGTCACCAAAATCCCGGCTGCTCCAGAAGCAATGACAATATAGAGATTCTGCATCGTACCTGTCCAAACAGAAACAGTGGAGACATGTTTCTCTTCATCAATAGGAAATTGAGGTTTGTGTGACGCACTTCTAGAAATACATACAAATCTTCCTTACTGTTAACAGGTAAAGAGAGTGTTATGTTTGCATTGCCAAGCGTGTTGTTGGCCACACAGAGAACAACACGAGAAGATCCAAACTCTGCATGCAGAGTTCCGATGGTGACGGTGCCGTGTTGTTCTACCTTCACTCTTGGCAGGACTCTGTCAGAAAGCACAAAATGGATCATACTGACGGGCTGGGACTCTGCAATGCACACGCACTTCACCATATGTGCCTCTGAAGAGCAGGAGGAGGCCGTCTTGATCTCAGGCATATCTGTAAAAACAACAATATCATTTTATGAGGTATTAATATACATATATATATATATATTAAAGAAAACTCCTTTATCATTGTATTCTTTTGATTGTTTAAACACATTGAGCAGCACGGGGTTTGATTTTTTTTCTCCTATGTCATTGATGGCAGTACAGAACAGGGCTCCTGTGTGTCTGGAGACATTTGGCAGCTTGTAGGCATTTCCTTCATGCAGTTTAGCACCGGTTTCATCGTGCCACTGATAGCTGGCAGGAGGGTGAGCATCACAAGAGCAGCTCAGTCGCACCGCTTCTCCCTCCGTTACATCTGACTTGTGTTCAACGTTCACATTCACTGGTGCATCTGCATGGAAATTGCATTAGCATTTCATTTTATTTTATTACTTGTGCACTGCTATCTTGTTGTCTATTGTCCGTTTTATGTCTACTGTCACGCACCAACCGCTAAGACAAATTCCTTGTATGTTTGACATATTTTGGCAATAAATGTTTCCTGATTCCTGAAATATACAATGAACTGCTCATGATGCCATGATGTAGTACATTTGGCAGTCTGTTAAAAAGTAAAGTCAATGCTCAGCTCTTGGAGTAAAAAGTCTAACTTACATTTTACTCTGAGGAGCTTTTCTGCTTTTTGGCTCTGCCCTCCCTTGTATGTCACGTTGCATCTTAAGAGCTTGTCGTGATCAGCTCTGGTAGGGAGGAAATGCAGAGTAGATGTCGCTGTCCACTGGCCATCGTCCAGCTGCCGTGGTTGGAAATGTTGTTTTCCGGGGAGACTCCAGGTGAAGACAGGTGGAGAAGTTGGGCAGGAGTGAAGAACAGAGCAGGACGCAACCACAGTTTGACCCTCCATTAAATCCACCTTCACGATGAAAGTGATGTCATTCAGTTCACCTGTAACAACAACAAAGAGACTTCTTTTGTTATGTGGTTTTAACATAACGTATATAAACCTCAGAGCAAACATATGACTTGATTGACTTGAGACTTGATTGTTTTCACTAACCTTTGAAGTAGAACATGTAAGCCAATAACACGAGGAAAGAAATCAATGAATACTGTCCTGATTCACTGAATGGAACACGATAATTACCAAGAGACTTCTTTCAAAATGCTTAATCAACTGTACTGTTACAGAAGTGTGGTGACAGTTGATTTTATTACTTACTCATCATTGTGATGGATGTCTGCTCTGTGTAGGACCCGTTGTCGTAGCCTTTCATTTCAATCCTGAAAAAAAAAGGCCCGCTGTCACTTGATTTAAGGGGATCAATCTTTAGTGAACAGTTCTTCTGTCTCACGTCTCCCAGCAGCTCTGTTCGACCCTGAAACTCCTTGATCATTTTCGACTCGTCTGGGTGATAAATGATCGATGAACCACCAGCGATGAACCACATCCCCAAGAACGCAGTGATCCGTTTGTCTGTATCTGGGTAGTTGAACGAGCAGGGGATGAACACACAGGATCCGGGGAGACCTTTAACTGAGGATGGCACCTTAACTTTCCAAGATGGATCTATAGTTTGAGTAACTGTTGTAGAGGAAAAAGGGATAAAAAGTAACCGAGATAAAGCAGAGAAGAGAAGGACTTACATGCAAAATGCTAATCTATTTCAAAATCATAATCTTGATCCAGGGAAAATTATATTAAGACATAAAGATGACGTTTTAACTGCACCTTTAATGCGCAGTAAGATATGGTAGCTGGTTTTACAGTGTTGAGAATATGCCACATACCTCTAAAGCAAAGGCACACAAAAAGCATCGGCCACTTGACAGAATCCATCTCGCCGTCTGCGGGTCGGAGCTGTGGATGAAGTGACACATATTTCTAAGCTTGTCACGTGACAGTTTCACTTCCCTTAGTTTATTTTCCTCTCTTAATACAGCACACACTGCACTAGACAAATTTAGATTTTAGTGTTTATTTTTAAGTTAGTGTTAGACAAATTGTCACACAACACCAGTGTAAAATCATCAAAACAGGACATTTAATGTTTGCCAACAGGAGACAGTTGACACACATACAAGTCATGCCAAGCCTACTCGAAGGGTTTCATCTTCGGAGCAGGAATAAATAGTTGTAAGATAAACTCTGGGCAAAACCCAAGTGCTGGTAGTCGACCTCGGATGTAGACGATCATCTTTGGCACCACAAGATTAGAAACATCAACGCACAAACATCTTGACTATCAGATGACCCAGAACACAATGTGCCTCTATGTGGAAGAGCACAGACTCTATCATATACAAGTAGAACATTATTGCAGTTTTTCCAACAGTTGGCCTTTTGCTCTTAACTAAGCTTGTATTACTTTTTCTTTTTAATAATATTATATTTTTTATAATATATAATATGAGAACAATATTTTTCAGGTTTTACTTTTAGTCATAAACCCATAATCAATTGTTTCAGATTAACCTTTAACATTTTCTAAATCTTATATTTGTTCTGCATTTGTTACCAGAACCCTTGACCATGTCACAAAGTTTGCCATCCTGCTGCTCACATTTCTTTGTTTGGATATTTGATTCGGTAAAAAAGTTCACACGGTCGTTTCCCTCGCACTTGTCCTTTAGTTTGACGACACCTAACGTCGTATTGTTGCGTCGGCTGTAGTTTTTCAATAAAAAGTAATTTTCTTTACTTAGAAAGCAATAGAATACCGATGCAAAGCTATGATTGTATTTAATGTAATGTGATCAACTAAAATGCATTCATGTAATATTTGATGCATCCTTGTAGCGAGGAGTTGCCACTGATTTACTGACGACCGCCACAGACTTACCATTGCTTGCCACTGCCACAAGGGGGATCTCTTCTTCTTATTTTGGTTTTATGGCAGTTGACGTCCATGTTTTTGGTGCATAACTGCCAAAGGAGGATCACTGCCCTGCTGCACTTATATTGACCGAGAGACATTTGAAATCAAGAGTACATGCATCATTCGGTTTATTTGTTGGAAAGCTGCTTCAGCATTCACGTTGACCAGAGGAATCTGCTCTGTGCACTCTGACTCTCTTTACACAAAGAATCCTCGAGGATGAGGGAGATGAAGCTGACTTCAGGTATACTATCCCAACTCAAGTGACTCAGACCCACATCTTGTTACAGAATCTAAAAATTTGGTTCCAATGATTCAGAAAATTGGTCTACAAACACAGAAATGTTGTTTCTGCACTTTTAATTCCATAGTTTATTTCCCTGAAATATATATTTTATTTCTGTATTGTTTTTAATTAGCAAAAGTGTTTTTATATGTATAGTGTTATATTTATAATAAATACAAATTAATAAAATAATGTGTTTGTCCTTGTTAAGGGATGTTAACATGACAACTGTGAAGGGATTAGTGACAATTGAAATTGTAACTATGTAAGTATGTAACTTGTAAGTTTCCAGCGAGCAATTTATCCGTTGAAACAACGTTTAAAAGACGTCTATGGCCCGACGTTGAAAAGACGTTGCAAAACGGTTTAAAAGTGAAAGTTGTTTCAACGTCTATTCGTAGACGTTGAAAAGACGTTCGCGTATAGACCCGTTTTCAATGTGATTTATAATATAAACTTACAAATGTGGACGTAGTTTCTTTTTAAACCTTTAAAATAATGATATAGCATACAAGAGAAGACGAAATATTACCGTATTAAAAAATCACGTTGAAATGTGACGTTGTGACGTTGAAATGTGACATAGACGTCTTCTCTACGTCTACGAATAGACGTTGAAACAACTTTCACTTTTAAACCATTTTGCAACGTCTTTTCAACCAAAATATGCTCACTGGGTATTTTCATTATCTGTTTTATTAATTTCAGCATCTCCCATTTCTGTATTTTCAACAATTCTTTAAAATAAGTTCAGCTTTTCTTATTTCTCTATTTAACATTTTTTTCAAATTCAATTCAGCTTTTAGCTTTCAGCATTCCAACGCAGGTTTTGCAGGTGTGAGGATGCTAAGACCGAGTGAATCCTGGAATTAGGAGGAAGGAAAGCGAGACGAGGTAAAAATATATATATTTTTTATTTGTAAAAACGAAGGTCCCTGACACACGTCTCATTAAACAGATAATCAACAAAACAAAACCTAATTCATTAACTGAATCAACTCAACATAACCTCATCTACCAGGTTCCCTCAGCTACACAAATGTTCCACCATTTTCCCCCAACAGTCAATGTCCTCCACCTTTGTAGTACACAACAGTTACTATTTTGTATCTCTTAAAGAAAAATGGAGTCTTTGCCCCCGCCCGGATGTAGGTAGAATGTCAAATGGATCACTTGTATGTGCACATACAAGTGATCCATTTGACATTCAATATATGTTGAATACCATAAAAGAAAAAAATTGTCACTTATCGCAACTTCTAACTAATAAATCATTGTTTCATAATCCGGTTTTAGAATTTTATTCAAATAAGACCATTGAGGCCTCGACAAAATCGGTCAGGGGATCCAGATGATTTCCCCCAGCATGCGGCAGTTTCCTCAATTCTCATCGACCTGATGAGAATTCGGTTCAAATTGGTTATTCATAGCAGCATCCACCCAGTGAGCATTTTTTGGTTGAAAAGACGTTTAAAAGACGTCTATGCCCGACGTTGAAAAGACGTTGCAAAATGGTTTAAAAGTGAAAGTTGTTTCAACGTCTATTCGTAGACGTTGAAAAGACGTCTATGTTTAGACCACATTTCAACGTGATTTTTTAATACGGTAATATTTCGTCTTCTCTTGTGTGCTATATCATTATTTTAGAGGTTTGAGAAGAAACTACGTCCACATTTAGTAACGTTACCATCGAAATATAAAATCACGGTGAAAACCGGGTCTATACGCCGAACGTCTTTTCAACGTCTATGAATAGACGTTGAAACAACTTTCACTTTTGAACCAATTTGCAACCTCTTTTCAACGTCGGGCCATAGACGTCTTTTAAACGTTCTTTCAACGGATAAATTGCTCGCTGGAAACGTACAAGTTACATACTTAGTCACAGTTGTCATGTTAACATCCCTTTACAAGGACAAACACATTATTTTATTGATTTGTATTTATTATAAATATAACACTATACATATAACAGCACTTTTGCTAATTAAAAACAATACAGAAATAAAATATATTTTTCAGGAAAATAAATTATGGAATTAAAAGTGCAGAAACAACATTTCTGTGTTCAACAATTCTGTGTTTGTAGACCATTTTTCTGAATCATTGGAACTTCATTATAGATTCTGTAACAAGATGTGCCTCACTTGAGTTGGGATAGTATACCTGAAATCAGCTGCATCTCCCTCATCCTCACTTGAGGATTCTTTGTGTAAAGGGAGTCAGAGTGCACAAAGCAGATTCCTCTGGTCAACGTGTTTATTCAATTCAAATCATTTTATTTTGTTCAGCTTTGCAATCTGTAAACATGCAACACCCTGTCCCCTAAACCCCAAAATGTAAAACACCTTCAACCTGGAGAAACCTGAGGGGAAAACAGTAGGGAAGAAGGTGTGAACAACTTAAAAGATGTACAGTACATCCGATTCCTACAACATAAATGATTCTAATATTGTGGATTATTAAGCCAGGGGTAAGGCAGGACCAGTGCAGGGACAACCATCATCAGACGTAACCTCCATCAGATGCAACCACCACCCTCAGAAACCTGTGAGGAGGGAAAGCACAAAGGCAAAGTTGGTCATTTGGGTTTATGATGACAGTAATAAACTAATAATAATAATAACAGCAGCAGGTGCGTTAGAACACTCATTTATAGATGGTTTACTTATTACATTATAAACAAGATAACAATTCATCTGCAACTTATGGTATTTCTGGAGTAACATGTCCAGGTATATTACACAGTATCATGCTTTAAGCAGCAGTAACTTACAATGTTTCGGCCTCTTGTTTACAGAGCACAACTTGTTGAATTCAGCCCTTCACCCTTGCAATGCAACTTAGCCACCATTGCTTTAAAAACGTATTTTTTTCAATGTGAAATGCAATAATATTTATGGGTACAGCAACAATCTAACGCATTAGCAACACCAAACACGCACAAAAATGTCTGGAATGTTTACTTTTGGTCCAGGTCATCATGCTGCACGCTAGCATGCTCCAAGCTAGCATGCTAACTAGCAAACTACCTGCGCTAACGCTAACTAGCGTAACAAAAAGAGCCGTCTTTCCTGTATCGAGTCGGCAGCACAAGTAAAACACCCGGTTATAGTTCCAGGTGTGCTTCATTCAAACACTCGCGTACTTACAGAGTAGTGGAGCCGGTAGTCGTGGTTCTATCAGCCCGTTCATGTCGCTCTGCTGCCGTAACTTCGCCTCGTGCTGCGTCCGCTCGGAGCTCTGCAGGCGTCTAAGAACTCGCGCATGCGCGTTACAGATGTGAGCGGAGTTACGTGTTTACAAGTAATGTTTGAACCTGCCCGCATTATTATGTCTTAAACGCATCTTATTGACAGCACGCAGTCCGTAGTTTCATATTTATGACGTTTTAAGCGAAATAGTAAATACGTTGAAATTACGTCTTCGCGTAGACCAAATTTCGCCGACCAGTTCATTAATTATTCTGAAAATCTTAACGTTAATATCGTCTCTCTTTCAACCTTACGTTACAACATGACACATTTATCAACAAATTAACGTTTTCTGGCACGTTGATGTTTCATCCCATTTTTAGACGGTTGAAAAGACGTTGAAATGAGGTCTTAGACGTTCAGACCTCATTTCAACCCGATTTCAACCATATTTCAACGTTGAAATTACGTCTTGTGCTCACTGGGCACCCGACGCTGCTGTAGTCCAACTATTAGAGGCACCCACACACAGCTGTGATGGTCCTCTTCAACAAAAACACGTTACTCCACCCTATTGTTCTGGCGGTGAATTGCTCTGCAACACACGCAAGCTTTTTTGAACCATGAGTTGAAACGAGTTCGTCGGCACAACGGTGCGTAAAGACGCAGATGCAGAAGCATGCACCAGCCTTTAGCAGACCAATCGCAGGCTTGTGCGCTGCGGGAGGCTTGCGTCGCTTGAGCCTAGAAAAATGGGTCGATGCACGCAAGCATGCAAGGAGGTGTAAAAAGCCACGCAAGCGGCTCTTGCGTCTGCGTTTCCTTGCGTCGCTCTGAAAACGCAGAAGCATGAACTATGCTTCAGGCGAAACGGCTTCAGTCTCAGAAAAACCTGTCATCCTCAGACAAAACTCCCGTCAAACCTCCAGTCAGATCTGAGGATGTCCTAAAATGCATACTGCGGAGATGCAGTATGCTCACGTTTTCCTTTATTGAATACTTTTCAGCCTTTCAATCCAAGATATCCTTTGTCCAGAGTTTATTCATTTTGAACACATCAGTTACGATTTTGTGTCTCTTGAAGAATAAGGAAGTCTTTCCCCCGCCCGGGTGTTTTATGTCGCCATGAGATGAACCTGGTTGAGTTAATGTCGAGATTTTCTCACCTGCTGATATTGGTATTTTATTTCTGGTCCTTTGGTTCATAATAAGGCCGTCCTACCAGGTTGACACTGTGTTTGGGTCTTTTAAGAGGTTTTATATTAGATTTGTTTGAAGAGCCTACGGGCCAACGTCCACCCAGCTTCACTGCATCACATGACAACCAAGGCTTATGTAAATATGATTGTCTTATTAAAATGAAATACCATTAAATGAAAAAGGTTTGTGTGAAAACAGAAGGGATGAAGAAAGATGCCACCCTTGAATTTCAGTATGAATATGTATAAACCAACACAGCATTTAGCAATAAAAAAAACTTTTTTTTATTAATTGTTTATATATTTTTGATTACATCAGATCATACAATGTTCCAAGGCACTTATGAGGTTTCAATTAAGGAATTAAACAAAGAAAATCAACAGGCAATAATTATAGTTCACCATCTGTTAACTGTTAGAAGTCTCTCTTTCGACATATATTTCTTTATTTGAATGCAAATTTTTGCTAAATAAAGGCAGATTGTCAGATTCTATGCTGTTACTGTTTTTATAAGTCATCTTATCAGAAACCATTTCTAAAAGAGGAAGTTTCAAAAATGTATCTTGTGCAGCACATGTTATTTTGGGTGACTGCTACGGTTTAATAGTCAGGCGTTTTCACACCAAGAGCCTACGGGCCAACGTCCACCTCGCTTCACTACATCACGTGCCCAATTATTTCAATATAATTTATTGTGTCTTATTAAATGAAATACCATTAAAAGATGTTTGATTGTGTGAGAGCAGAAGGGATGAAGAAAGACGACACCCTTGAATTATAGTGTAAATATGTATAAACCAAGTTTTATATATTAAAAAGTATAAGCATTTAGCAATACAAATAGCTTAATTTTATGATTTGTTCTTATATTTTTGATTACATCGGATGATAGAATGTTCCAGGGAATTTATGGAGTTTAATTTATGCTGCAGCCGTGGAGCAGTTCGCAGGGCAAAATTCTCACAATAACTCAAATAAATGCCCCGTCGGAAATCAAAACACATTTGCGGGGAATTGATGACAGAGAGTAATTGTTATTCTTAAATATTGATGAATAAAGAAACAATTGTGCTCCAGCAGAAGGGGAGCTTTTCTTATCTTGGACAAAAGGGCAGGTGCTCGAGCACCACTAGGGGTCTATCTGTGTACGTGCCTGTACAGCGGATAAAAAAAAAAAAAAGGAACAGGCAATATTTATAGTTCTTTACCGTGTTAACGGTTTTTCCGATTCTATGGCGTTAATGTTCTCGGAAATCATCTTATCAGAAACCATTTCTACAAAACAGGAAGTTTAGAGACCTAACTTGTTATTTTGGGTGACTGCTGCTGTTTAATAGCGATGCGTTTTCCCACATATGAGCAAGTAAAATTCGGCAGTCGTTTTATGGTGATTTGTCACAACACAAATACGTTACTGATGATAGAACAAGCTGTCAGGGGGTTATTACGTTATTTTTTAAATGCACAACTTTAAAAAACATGAATATTTTATGAATGCCTGGGAAAGAAAAATCTCACTTGGCATACAGACAGAAGAGGGTTATAATATGTTGACAGCTTCCCGTTGGTAGCAGTTGGTAACAGAGGGACTGCTCTGTTCCTCCAATGAATTCAACAAAGTTACATATTTGTGTAGATTGCGTCATCGCAGTCAGTCTGTAGGAAACAAATTGAACCTTCACTCTTGCAAGGAAACAATGAATGAATGAAAAAAAATGAACATACCTCCATGTTGTCATAGACATGATCATTGTCATGGATGTCAGCAGAATCTTCGTAACCCTTCTCTTCTCTGAGGATGAAGAAAACAAACAAGTGTTTCATCAACATTGAGGATTATTCAAGTTATGTTTGTTGTGTCATTTTACATGATTAGCATTGTATGAAATAACTTAAGCAAAAAGGGGATTTATTCGCTTCGCTCGTTTTTCTTTTTTCGCGTCCCACGCGTCACGTCTTGAGTCATTCACAGCGCCCGTTTCAAATTTGCCTCATTCGCGACAAGACGTGTTTGTGCATTGACTTTACATGGAATCTACTCGCGCAAATAATTCGCTTCGCTTTTGGTGTGAACGCAGCTTAACACTTTGTACATTTGTTTCATAAACATTACGGCTGTCACAGTTAGCAGGGTGCTCCTGCCCAGACTAACTCTGCGGATCTGGTGCTAGTTGATTAACTAGGTCAACAGTAGCACTGCGTACAATTTGTTTTTATTGACGTTACAGCTTCACACTTAGCAGGGTGCTCACCCCCAGACTAACTAGTGTGGTGCTTGGTTATAGTGTCATCGCTCCCTCCTCACTGCTAGGAATGTCTTTTGGCCTGCTTTCTGCCCTCAAGCTAACTCAGAAGCCCGCATTTGCTAGTGGCCATGTTTAGCTCTCCAGGCTATAGGACCTGTATAGCTCCTTCACCCTAAAGGCTGATGACACTGCAGGGTGGTGAACCTTATCGGCATCTACCTTTTGAACCTGATGCTTGCCCTCTCAGCTTTGCTATAGCAAGCTACCTTTTGGCACTTCCGCCACCGGCCATAGGGATATTTCACTGCAGGTGGTTGCCCACATATCGAGGGAACTTGGACGTCTGATGTCCACCCTGCTCCAGACTCGCGGCTGGGTTTGGCTGACGCAATCATTCCTGTCAGAGACATATAGGAGAATCTTCTGTAATGTCCCTGTGGAAGCTGAGGAGCTGTTTGTGTCAGCTGCTAAACCAGACCCTTCAGTGGGGCGTCTGGTAGATAGCCAGGGCAGACCGTATTCCTGTTTCTTCACAGGAACATACCAGCATAGCTATGGGGTTCCCACCACAGGCAACCGCCGAACTTGGGGCCTAACCGCTGCCAAAACCCGCCAGAAGCAGGGTGGCCAAGAAATAAGGTCTCCGGGCCAGTCTTTGGTTATTCCTTCCAGCAGCAGATTGCCTACTGGGCAGTTCATGCATCAGACCCCTGGGTGGTCTTTACCCTATCCCAAGGTATAAGCATCAATTCCGATGCCGCCCTCAGCCGGGTCGCAATGACCAACATCACCGTACCGGCACAAATCCCTAGCCCTGAGCCAGGAGGAGTCTGTCAACTCTCATGTTCCACGGTGTGTCACCACAGGCAGTCTCTTTATTTACTGCCTGGTTTTCATTCGGACCCTCTTCACGGGTGCATACAGGATGTCTTACTGCCGCCCTTTCCTCCCGTAACTGCAGGGCGAAAGACACATCTGTAACTCTATTCGCTGCACAACTTACACCCCCCGTCGGCTGTAGCTTCACCCGACAACATCTCAGTTTGTAGCTCACAGTAACATTACAAAGAAGCAGACGCGAGAGGACTTAATACTATCATCAATGTCCGAGCGTGTTATAACAAGCTTGCTAACATTGCTAGTGGCTAAACTTACTTTGTTTATGACAAACTAACAAGTCATCAATTTTCCAAACACAGTCAAACAACAAGCAAGCAAGCAAAGTGGAGAGAGAAAAATGTTTCCCTTTTATGTCAGGGTCTAGGTTAGTCTCGTCAGAGTGTACACTCGTCATGAATGGTGACGGTGTAGTGAATTTTTTTGTCATAGTCAACCCTGAAGCCCCTTCAGAATATACATATCGCCTACTCATTTTTTGATTTGGAAAATGTTTTTCTTGAATTACTGAATGAGTAGTCTACTAAAAACGTCAATGCTTTCCCTTCCACAATTACTCTTGTTGTTGGCATGTTTTTGTATGAATCGGATGTAAACATAGCATACATGTGTGATGGTGGTGTTTGTGTATTCTGTTACTGCTCCAAATGAGAAATATTGTTGAGCAAGACAGCATGTTGTTCTGCAGTGTGCGTGCAAGGAAGCCGATCTTCATTGCAGCATTGTGTCTGTATGTGTGTTTGTTTCACTTCCCCGTTTTGGAGAGGAAGCAGTCGGTCCTCCGTCACACATACAGCTCTCCTTCCCCTACGTCAGTCTGAAGTGCCGAACTGTTGACCACCTTTGTCAGTCCTGGAGTAACGCTTTTGTCCATGTGTGTGATGTGCCTGGTTGGAACGGTTGGGGCACTCTTTGGACCAATGTCCTGTTTCTCCACAGAGGAAGCATTCGTCGAGTTGCGCCTCTCGTGGGGCCCCTCCTTGGAAGCGCCTTCTCCTCCCATGATGCATTCCCCATCTTCATCCTCTGTGTTAGCCCGTCCCATTAGAATTGCGGGGTGGGTGGGGATTCTGGCCTTCTTTCGCACAGAGAGTCATTTGTTGGACGGCTTAGAGCATCGCGAGCTGGGCATTCTCCCCAGTCTGCTTGCTGCGTTTGTCGTGAAACATTTGATTTTCAATATGCATTTTGTAATTGTGTCGTGCATGTTTTACCACTTCTGTGAGCCTTGCATCTTCCAGACCCACAAGAGTGCTCAGTGGCAGACGTCTGGCAGAAGCCCGTACATGAAGGCATTCTTGAGATGAGTTTCCCACACGGTCATGTTGGTTATGTCTGTGGGCTCTTCGAGGCCACTGTGAATCTGAAAAGCAGCCACAAGATGCTAATAGTAAGATGTTACATCTTTGGTCGTACCTTGTTTTGTGCTGTTGATGAGGGCCATGTTTACTGATGCCAGAAAGGTGTATATATTGTACACAATTAAGATTTAACCTCAAACCAAATACATCAAAGTCAATCACCATAATTAACAAAGTTTCCAATAATTTGAATATGCTTTGTGTGTTTGTGAGTGAAGAAATTTCTGTGTGATTAATTGAGCGACGGATGATCACAAACTGATTGCAGGAACCATTCATCAGCTGTGATTAACTTGGTTGTTACTGCCGTGTTCATCCTCATTCAGAGGTATACTGTTAATTGTTCCTTTGATGAGATCACGGCGCCAATCTGCCCTCTAAGATTCTCTTTAAAATGGAGGCGTCCGACCACTTCTCATTTGATGTTTGGGCAGCAAACACACCAGAGGAGAGGAAGGACAACTGTTTTACTTAACAGGTATAAAGACAATGTGTTGATTCGACAGTTTAGCATTCCATATATTGCAAGTCACGTGTGATCTTTATTTTGTACATTTTTGGCTTTTTGATTTACAGAACTGAAGATCGCTATAACTGCTATGGCTCCATCTGCCGATGGAGTTAGGAACCCCACTCCGAGCATTCCCCTCACACCTGAAACCCATCCGGGTATGACGACCTGAGGGACTTCATAAAGGTGGGAGACACACCATTGAGAGAAAGACGAGCTGCAGGTTGGGCCCGATGCAGAAGACCAGACCAATACAGGAGGATTCCCGGAGACCGGAGGGACTGAGAGTTTTACCGGCGAAGATCGACCGAAGCCTAAGTTACACGTTTTTGACTACTGTTTTCTGTTTAAACCGAAGGACGTGAATTAAACCTTTGTTTACATTTTGAACCTGGTGTCCTCGCACTACTTGAACTACCCCGGTGAGAGCGGCGCTGGCTCTCATGACATCACATTTGGTGGAGGATGCAGGTCTTGTTCAACGGAATTAGTGCATGTCAGAGGAGGACACCGAAAGTTTGATTCAACACTTTTCCAGATTAACCGTGGGCCCCCCACCTAACCAAATGGAAGACATATTGAAAACCCTTATTGCTGCCCAGCAAGCCCAGATGCAAACATATTTGGCTCTTGGAAGAAGAAAAGAAAGCCAACCTTCTGAAGGCAGAGGAATTACAACTGCAGAAACCGATGGCCGACCGGAATGTACGCCCAATAAATGCAAGTAACTATTTATCCAAGATGGGTGCCATGGACGGGAGTCACTGAATGCTGTTCCGGACCTGACCAGGCGACTGACTATGACGTCCTGAAGACTGAGCTCTGGAGCAGGAATGGCATCACCAAGTTTGGTATGGTCCAGCTCTTCCACAGCTGGACCTTCCAACCCGATCAACCTCCTCGTGCGCTGATGCTCGAGCTTGTCCGGATCACGCGGAAATGGCTGGAACCACGGAGGAATACAGCGCCTGCAGTAGTAGAGGCTGTGGTGGTGGATAGATACTTGTGGGCCCTGCCTTATGAGGCGAAGCGGTTCCTCAGTCAACAGGCCTTGACCACGGCCGATCTAACTGTGGAAGCGGTGGAAAAATATCAAGCCACAACAGAGATGCTTCGGGACTCCAGAAAAGAATCCAGGAGCGCGGCCCTACCACGGACTGAAGGAACCCGTCCCAAGGTTACCAACCAAGCCTCTTCAGGAGCCCCAGGGGGAGCCAGAAACTCGCTGGGTCCAAAGACAATACACCAGGAAAGGGAAACCCGACAGTGTTACCGGTGTGGGGGAGTGGGACACCTCTCCTGGCAGTGTGGGACGCAGGCGGACGAGCCTATGCCCACGGCTGAGTCATCCAGCTCACCACCCGTCCCCCGGTTTGCCTCACTCATAGGACTTATAGATTCCCCCCCGGATCGACCTCCCACCTGCCCGGTGACTGTGAATCACCAGGACGTGGAGGCTTTGCTAGATTCGGGCAGCCGGGCTACCCTGGTGCGAAAGGACCTGGTAGGTCCATGTGATTTGACCCCAGGAAAGTACTTCCTGTGTCCATTGAGACACTAGGGACTACCCCATCGTAGAACTCTTGATTCCTTGCCTGTGGGGCTCTACCAGTATACCCGGCTCCCCTTTGGTCTCCACGGAGCACCGGCCACGTTCCAGCGCTTGATGGACCGGGTCCTTGCTCCCCAAAAGAGGTACACGGCCGCATATTTGGACCTCCTATTTAAACCTTTATAGGGTAATCGTTTCCTCATAACACCCACAGTGAACATCAGAAGTGAAGTTAGCAGTCTCCAAAATTATGACATGCGGAACAAGAAGATGCGTTTGTTTACTTGGTATTTCAGGCATTCTTCTTTTAACCACAAGCTGTTGTCTATCTTGATAACCGTTAATCTTACCGATGACACATTCAGAACATCACAGAAATATTTTGTTTATTTTTGTAGTTCTGCTTTCGGTGAAGAGGCAGAACAAACTAACGTTTGTGCGACTCGCTGCAGATTCAACCACCAGTAGACAGACATGCTATTTGTCTTCAGTTGATTTATTGAGAAGAATATGTTCTTAATTGTTTTTCTGACTGTTAACGAAATGTATGGTTTAATATTTTTAAGGACTTGAATACAATGCCACAGATATTTTTTTTTTCTCTTGCATAATCCAGCGTGAGCTGTGTTATTGTTGAGGAGAACCAGACTGGTTTTCTATTTTAGTGTGTTTCCTGTTGTCGTTGTACCCCCAACCTTCTATTACTTCAGCTACTCATAAACAATATTGATGCACCACCATCTGGCCGACTCAACTGAATTACTGCTTGACTGAATAGTTTATAGAATTGTCACATCTACAAAATGACTAAGCAGTAACCCTGAAACCACATCAAAAAGTATTCCTAAACATTTATAACTTCATCTAAAGTGTGATTGATTTATTGTTGTCAGAATCTTACTTGAACATTTGTCTCGTTGATAATGTGGTGGAAGTTTGACTGAACAAAAGGAGAAATTTGTCTTTGTATATTTGATAGACTTCTGCGCAGAAGGACCGAACGCAACAGTTTACAATCAAGCAACATTCCCGGAATCTGTACAGAGGGCTTTCTGAGTTTCTATATGCATAAAGACAATGAATCAATACCGACATGTACAGAAAAGGGTTTGCCAGTCTGTGGGAGTTTACAAGTAAAATGCACACTGTTAGTTTATGGAAAAGATGGAACTTAGTACAATTAGTCAATAAGTGTCTTCGGCAAAGCAGGAAGTCAAATGTCCCTCAGTCGAACAGGAGTCATATGACAGCAGTTCAGTGATCATTTTTCCTCTACAGATGGCAGTTTGTGTATGAAGTTTAAAAAAATTGCTGAAAATACAGAAAGGGAGAAGCAGAAAGGAATATCTCAGTAACAAACTAAAAAATGAAACATTATCAGTGATAGCGAAACAATATTAAAAAGCTGTTTAAATAAAATGGTTTAGACTTTTGTTCACATTTTAAAGTTCAAATGGAGCCTGTAGCTGAAAGATTGACTAAAGAGAAGGATTTGAAAGTTGAGAAAATTTAAGAATAAACTCTGTTGGAAAACCATGTTAAAAAAGTTTAAGACTTGTATTTATATACATTTAAGTATAGAGCTGAGAAGTCATAGCTGCAAAGTACTAACGGAGTTGAATATTTTAATATTTGATATTTTAATAGCTGAAAATATGTTGAAAGATAGGACACGGACGAAATAGAATAATAAAAAGGAGTTGAATAAAGATTGGAAGAGGAATACTTAGAATGCTGCATACCCTTCCAACAATAAAAAGGAGAAGTTGAATAAAGATTAGAAGAACAATACTTGGAATGCTTAAGCAGCATTCCAGCAATAAAAAGGAGAAGTTGCATAAAGATTGGAAGAACAATACTTGCTGAAGCCGCATTCCAAGTATGATCTTTTAATCAGTGTGTACACCTAAAACAAAGCATCTTTTCCTCAGCTTAGAAAAAGCCATTTACTTTTCAAGCTATGATGCTAACAGACGCTTCGGCATTGAGAGGCCCGGGTAGAGCGACTGAGCCACAGGAGCTGATAAATAAGATGGGAGAAATCTGTAAAGTCAGTCTTGTCGGAAGCGGATTCATGAAAATGTGCTGCGTGAGTGCTGTGTTGTTAAAACAAAGAAAAGAAACCAAACCGAGAGCTACAGACGACAGCAAGAATTTAATGCCAGACTTAAATCAAACATATTAATAATACCTTATGAGTAAGGGTTAAAAAAGAGAGTTCTGAAGAAGCTTTTTAGTTTGTAGAGATTTCTTCTTCACACTTTTTCAATTTATGAATGTAGATTTAATTTGACATTCATATTTCTAAATGATTCAGTTAATTGTAGTTCAACTCACACCATAATGTTGCAGATCCCATCTGGATCCTTTTTCTGAAAAGAAAGCACAATTTAGGGTTAACTGCCTTGCTTCAAGAGACCACTCCTTACTTTCTACATCATTAACTCCATTGATATCAGTCTGCCGCCCCTATATCTGCACAACCTTCCTCATACAGCAGTTGTGTTCTGTTCCTGTTCTGCTGATTAGACCTTCTCAAGGTGTTTTTAGTAGGGACGGAAAGGAGCCAGAAAGAAGCTTTATCAGGTAAGAACATTATATATAACTTACCATGTTAAAATAGCACATCCAATTAATGTTTGTTTACTACATCTTTTGGTCAAATATCATTTTAGAGAGTCTAATACGCTAAAGGATAATGCAGCAGAGCAATTTGAGGTGTTTGGAGATGAACTTGACCACTGGGCTTTTTCAACATTATTTATCATTGTTTATTTGGGTACAATTAAAAGAAAATGAATACATAAAAGGTGACTATATGTGTGTATATATATATATATATATATATATATATATATATATATATATTTTTTTTTTTTTTAAAAATCAATATATTTATGGAAGAAATCATTAAACAACAGATGTGAACATATTATGTGTTTTATATGTGATTTTGTACGAGGACACAATCCATTCCAGTGTTTCCTGTTTAAATATATGGCTCTTGCATGTGAAGATCTTTACTCTTTGAAGAAGTTCTACACAAATGTGGTATGATATGCAGATGGGAGTAGAAGGTAAACTGTGTGGAAGTTGCGTTTGTAATGAAAGGCAATTCCGCGAGTTGAGAACAGCAGCGTGTGTCTCGTTTATTATTACCATAAAAACACTCAAGATGGCGCAGCCCTGTAACCTCACAAGCAAGGGACTCTACGTCACAACATAACAAAACATTTAAAGGGACCGTGATCCCGGCACAGTCGCAATTGCGTGTACCACGAAACAAGAACAAAGGTGAATTATGCAGTCACATTCACTACAACTGTGTGTTTCTGTTTTGTGTATCTTTTCTTTTTAACATGAATTTTATTACACCACCAAAACCTAAGAAGTACCGACCAAGAGAAAAGGAGGATGATACTCTGTCTGCTTTTGGCAGGTAACATATTGAAGTCCAAACTATCTTTCCAATTTGATATCTACAAATGCCCCATTGATTAATAAAAAAAGAAAATGGCCAAAACGGGAAATAACAATTTATATTTCTCTTACAGCTTTTAGCAGCCCTGTGTTCGCTGGAGAGTGGACGGCAAATGTTGTAAAAGAGCTTGATGTCCTGGTCCAGTCCTGTGCTGTTGTACCCTGTACATTCACCCATCCTAAAGAATACCATCCAGACTCTGCAATCAATGCGATCTGGCATCTCAAATCTGATTGGAAGAAACGCATCTATAGCGATGCTCAAAGAGATGTCTTGGAAAACTTTAAGGGACGCACAAAGCTGTTGGGACATCTGAGTGATGGCAACTGCACCTTAGAAATGATTGAAATCAAAGATCATGACAACGGCCCTTTCTGTTTCCGGATGGAACTTCCGACCGGTTCCATCGACAAATTCTCCTTTGTGAATCATTGTGTCATGTTCAAGATGCTCCGTATGTAAACAACTTTCCCAAAGATATGCTTTAAAAATCACAGATCACCTACACCTTTTCTATGTATCAACATGGTTTTCCTCTTTTTCATTTGTAGCTAATCCTCCAGATCCTATTCTGACTCACTCAACAGCCATTCAAGGACGTCCCTTCACAATTACCTGCTCAGTCACCCACACCTGCCCTTCCCATGTGCCTGAACTCACATGGAATAGGGCCACTACAGATGATGTGGTCACTGTCGTCCACAAAAAAAATCGTTTCGGCTACTGGGAGATGGAATCCATCCTGGCGTTCACTCCTGAGGAGAAGGACGACCACAGCGAGATCATCTGCACGGCGGCATTCTTTGGAGGGCGAAAATCTCAAACCGTGTCGAATCTCTATGTGAAACGTGAGTTTTTCACACTGTTGATTTAGATCCTCTAACATGTGCAAAACAAAAGGAAGGACTTCCCTTAATATATGCTTCTGTCCATTTGCAGGTACAGACAATTATAACCACATAATCGTTCCAACGGTGGCGGTGATTGGTACAGCTGGGATCTTTGCAGTCTTCTGTACCCTAATGGTGAAGAGATATCGGTGAGTGAGGCAGTGCAAAAGCCTGTGCTGGTTAGTTTAGAAACGATTTTAGTATTTTTCCTTATATTATTGTGTTCTGTCTATTCAAGGAAACGCATTGAAGAGCTCCAAAGTGCGGATGGCAGGTAAAAACAAGACTACACAATTAAGTTTTTATTCATTATTTTCCTTTATTGCCATCACGTAATATTCTGTGTCATCTTTAGCATGTGGAACCGGATGTCCAGGCTCTCTCGGAGGTAAGAAATATGGTTTGTGATAGTTCCTTTGACAACAGTAACAATCAACTATCAATTAAAGTAATGTGAAATTTATTTTGTGAAATCCTTAGGATCCGTTCCCATGTGTCAGGACCTTCTCGTGCCGATCCAAGGTCATAAGCACTTCTGACTCACCCTTTATCTTTGTGTTTGGTTGGTTTCACAGTAATTTGCATGTTTGGTGCTTTTTTGGAACTCATGTATTTATATGCCTCATAACATTTCCATATTTTCTGTTCTTCTTTTTTTGTGCAGAAGTTCTATTTGGTTGATTGACCCATTTAACGTTAAATTTGACACTTGATTTTATCACAGATAGAACTCACTATTCTTCTCCTAATGAAACTAGTGTATTTGTTTTGTTTCCTTTGTGTAAATGTTAGTGGGTTGTTACAAACAAACAAATATAACAGTAAGCCTGAGGACAGTAGATTCATGTAGTGTCAGGAAATTGAGCATATTTTTGTTTGCTGAACTTCAGTAACGTGAATTTTAATCCCCAGACATGCCAACCAGAAAGTCTCCAAGGGTCGTTTCCCATCCCCCAAAAGGTACTTGGTCTACCCCTCTTAAACCTGAGTGTTTTTCTAAATAAAGATATCATATATTGTAGTACAGCCAAGTAATTACTTTTTTCTCTACTTTTCATTGCTGTATTAAACGGACCTCAGCCAGCCCAAATCCTGCAATTATCGACAGGTACTTGTTAATTGCCATTGATTTATTCCCAATGATTACAAACAGAACTGTGGCACTATCAGCATCTGTTACTATAATGACATTAATCTTTCACAGGACCCTGATGACGGGGATGATTACATGAACGCTGTGGACAACAACGTCTATGGAAACATGTGAAAAAACAACTGAAACGTGCTTAAAATGATCATTTGAATAACAATCTGATGCTTGCAATTAAGATATCAGACTGTTTAGGTAATCTCTGTAATAGAACAAACTATAATTGATTTGTCTTTGCTCATTTCATCAATTACTTAGGGAATGTAAAATTCGTCAGTAAGTGCAACTTGTCCCTATTGTTAATTTTTTCAATGTTTCTAGTTATGCTAATTTAAGAAAACCATCAGGTGTCTGGTTCCATATTATTCTTGAAAAAATTGATTTGTTTTTTCCCCAAACAATGGCAAACAAACTAAATTATATCAATGCTTTTTATTTCCCCACATTTCAAACAATTCAACCAAATACTTAAATTCCCTAGAGCGCATACAATCATAGAGGCGTTGAGTATTTGATATCTCATATAATAACCAAACAGTATAAGAAATATTTGACTGTAATGGAAAAAGGCCAAATGCTGTAAATTAGACCAATTTGAAATTATTTTCCTGAATCTAAATACAGGTCAAATGTTTTTATATGCGGTATGTTAGCGATATGTACAATACCAGTCAAAACTTGACACACTTTCTCACTGAATGAGAAACTGTATCCAAACTTTTGACTGGAACTGTATGAACCCCATTTGTAAAGGGATGTTATTGTATATTTTACGTGTTTGTAAAGTTAATATCCTTCGCAGCTACTTTGCCTTCCCTTTAGCTGGTAAATTTTTTCTTCTTTATTCTTCCTTATATTTTAGATTGAGGTTTCTTAAGAGTTCTTAAAATGAGTAAAAATCTTACAATTACTTTAACAGGTGGTAAAATGCTTCATAAGCTTTCAGCGCTAAATCATTCTGATCTTTACGAAAGACAAAATAAAGGAAGCTTCTGTGTAACCTGCATTTTATTAGGTTAGTTTTTGCTGAAGAACTAAGTTTTTCCCAGAAATTATTCATGTCACTATGGTGAGACTATTGATTACTTAAAATGTTGAATGAACAGAGGACATTGTAAGAGTATTCATTGTTTACACTTTGAGAACAGGAAACAGCTACTGCTACTACAATTCAAAGTCTCAACTTTACTTTAACCACCACTCGTACCATATTGCCTCATATTAGCATTAACTAAACTAGGTCTAAAACATTTCAATCTTAAACTGCTGTAAAAATCTCAGTACCTTAGAACTCAGCACAGTATAGTTTTTGGGGCCTGAATAGTCTTTGATTCAATTAGTTTTCAGGTTTTTTCATTTTTTTTATTACAGCAAAACGTGTATTGTATTCACTGCATCCCTTTTTTTTTTGTTATTGCTACTTTTTTACCCTGTATTTGTATTATCCGGTTTTATTTTGAAAATAAACACATAAAATATTGAATATGCAGACATACTCTTATTGCGCTCATATATACTGTACATCTATCGTTATCTAAATATATATTCTTTTGGATTACATATGTACAGATATATTGTATGGTAGTTAAATGTCTATACTTCGGTTGTACTTTTTATGTTGATGTGAAAAAAACAATGGTAAAGTTTATCAATATTCTCCTCAGCTTGACTGACCTAATTTTTGCCCAGTGAATCGATTCCTTAGAATTGTTCGCATGTATTCCTAACGATGCAACTTATCGATGACGCTCATTGTAAATGCTTCATGACGTCACACACCCACTGCGTTTGTTTTGATTCAGAACGCAGCAAACATGCCACCGAGACTGAATCGCTCCAAAGTTTGGCTTTATTTTACGCGAAAAGACTAAATTCCGTCACTTGCAACAGTTGCAAAAGTTCAATCAAAAGTTCAATCAAGTGGAGGGACTACGTCCAATATGCAGAAACATTTGGCCACCCAGCATGCGATTCATGTCATGTCGTGTGTTTGATACACTTCTACTTAGCGACATGACAAGTGAGTCAAGCAGCAGCGGCGCTAACAGGACACCATCTTTTATTAATCCCACAGGTAACTTGTCTAACTTTACTTAGTTAATGTGAGCGGCGCGCCATTTCATTCATTCAGTAAACTTTTACTATATAACGATAATAATCTCCATTGTCATTGTACATCAAATTTAGATGATGACGATGACGGCCAGAGTCTGGCTGGCTCAGAGGCTGCAGCAAATATCTCTCGTGCACCTCTAGCTACTCCGTTTACAGAGGCAGAGAAGAATATAATGACCCAGACAAGGATAAACGAATGTCACAGAGCAGTGACTAAGTTTGTGGTAAAGGGTTTGCACCCGTTTGCCACAGTAGATGCCTCTGCATTTCGGTAGGTTTATTTGCTGTATTTTGTCCAGTACCATGTCTTTTCAAATGATTTTTTTTTTTTCTGTAGCGAGATAAAGATTCTCAACCCAAAATACAATGCCCCAAGCAGAGACAGTTTAACAAATCATCTGATTCCTGCTTGGTATGGGTTGAAAAGAGCAACCTGATCACTGATCACAGACACATGTCACACATGCAGCCATCACAGCAGATGGATGGACAAGTTTTAGTCAAGACCACTATCTCACCGTAACATTGCACTATGTCAGGGAAGGTCAGAATAAAGAAGAAGTCCTCCAAACCAGAGCAGTGTGCAAAGCTGTGACAGCCAATAGCTGTGGCCGAGCAGGTCAATGGGATCTTGGAGTTTTTTTTTTTTTTTTTTTGTTTTGGACCATTGACCAATGAATGTGAACAATTTCCACAAAGGCACACTTCTAACACTTTACTTTGAGAAGTAACTCACGTACTTTAAGTTTGTTTTGAGGTTTCTACACATACTTTGTGTATACAAGTACATTTTTGTTGAGATGCTTTTAAAATCATTCAACTGTGCTTAAAATACTTCCTCTATCTACAGGAAACATGCTCGGTCACAGCTGGTCAGTCACCGCCCCGCCAGAATAACTGGCCCAAGAGGCTCATGTATCATCATTCCTTTCACGTTCTGCTATAGTATCTCCCAGCCTCCTGACCTGACAGTTATATAGGCTATATGTTACAACTTGTATTTGGTGAAAGACAAAACATTATTAGTAAGTTTGATTGGATCTTTTGGGGAGGTGGATTGTGGTCTTAAGATGGAGAAGCTGGAGATGTCAAAATAGACAATTAGCCGACAAGGCACACACATTACAGGTCATTTAGCAGACTTACATTACACTTTAAACCCATGGCTTTTTCACATTTTTGCCCAGGGAGCAACTAGGGGTAAGGTGTCTTGCTCAAGGACACTTTGACATGGAACATGGGGCAGCCTGGAATCAAACCATCAACCTTGTGCTTCCCAGCACACCTTCTCTAAACCCTGCGCCACGACGACCCCCTGGATGTTCATTGGTGAAGGTGCAGGTGAATGGAGACAGGAGGAAACAATCAGGGACACGGCAGACAATCAAACTCACAGGGGAAAATACATCAGGGCAGGAAGTGAAGTTAACACAAGGACACGAGAGGCAGGAAACTACAAAACAAAACAGGACATAAACACCGTGATAACGTTTGCTTTGATGTTATAGACCGTGCTGAGGAATACTTGTTTTCCCCTCATTTCCAGTTCATGTTAATAACATTCACTCTTCCCTAGGGTTGGCATCACTTTAATTATATTTCTTGATGTTCGCCTAAATTTCATGGAGTTCAATCAGCAAATGCAAGCAGGACATTGCCTGATTTAATTATCTGTCCCTCCAATTTAAACTTTCACAGGAGATCCCTCCTAGACTACCCAGGTAAGCATTGAGGACCTATTTTGTTGGTCTCATATCATGCAAGATAAAATCATGCATGTGCTCTAATTTCTTCTGTTCTGAATGAAGGTGTTGTTATGACCCGACAAAAACGCCGATTAGATAAGAAGGAGTACTTTAACTTTAACAATCCTGTGAGCATTTGATGTTCTAGCATTATGATTAATTTACGCAGATGTAATTGTCCATGTCTGCGCCTCTCCACTGCTGAAGATAAAGGAGGCTTGTGACTTCTCGGAATCATTACATGCTTGTATTTGTTTCTGTTTTATTGTTTCATGTGCAGTACATGTTTGCATGTGTGGGGGAGGAATGTTGGTCTTGATTTCAACCTGCTTTATCTAAAGGTGAAATGTGTACAGAACAAACTCAATATTAGATTAACAATTAAAAACTCCAGCCAGACTCGTCTTGTTATATCATATATCGTTATTCTCAGGTTAGTCTCTTTGCAGTAGCTCTGCATCTCTTTCTAGCCGATAATGTCTTTCTGGTCATTTTGAGTCACTTGCTGGTTGCCACGTGTCTCCTGTGTCTCCACGAGTGACATTTTGTATGTAAATCCATGCCCCATTAATAATACTCCGACGTGACTTCAGTGTTAAATCTGGAGTCTGGAATCAGCAAATACAGGATGAGGGCCTGACTCACCTGTACACATTTATATAGTTACAGCAACTATACAATCAACTGACCCACACGCCTTTCAAATGAGACAGAATTTAGAGCACTCCAGAAATCAGAATACATAGCAGACGTTTGAGAAATATATTTATTAGGCTTTTTTTAATTACATCAAAATGTTCTTGACAATTGCAATTTTAAAATTGGTTTCAGGTTAACAATATAGCATTCATATGCATTTGCCTCCTAGAAATGGCCGTTTCATGGCAGGCAGTCTAAATTGTTGAAGCAACATGAAAAAAAGAACAAGAAGCTGGTTAGAAACTAGAGGATGTAAGAGACAAACGGATTTCCCAACTTTATTAACTTACACATCAATGCTTTGCCTGCTAAACTTCCTCGCTCATCAGGTGAAAGGATGAGGAGGGGTGTGAGCACTATATACGAGGCCTTGCAAGGCCAGCGAGAAAAGCTTGGGCTCATGTTGCCGTTTCAACCATTTAAGAGATCACGACCAAAGAGACCACTGCTGTCCACAGCAGCACGAGGCCAGCACTTGTGCTGCTGGCGCTGTTGCAGTAGTTTCCCTGACAGCAGCTTATTTCTGCTCCGACGACTCCTGACATTCTTTGAGTTCCAGATAAGCACATCAGCTTGGAGGCACAGCCCTTCATGCTAATCAATCCACCTCCGGCATTGACTGAGGGAGTGAAAGTAATGTTAGTGTGTTCATCTAGTAGAATTCCTCTGTGAGCAGTAATATGTGGAACAGAGTACGATGTCTCAGGGTTGCTTTACCTGTGGCTGAGATGCACTGGTCCTCGGTCCCATCACAGTTTAGAGTTGCAGTGCAATCTTGTCCTTTGCATTGGAAGCACTTTTTACCATTTGGAGTGGATTTGCTGGGAACTGTGACGTAAAACATCTATTGTTCACATCATACTGTTTGGCTATGTAGAGCGGGATTGGCAGGTAAATGCAATATTTTTCTTTCAGTGCCTTTCTGAAGGTCTTTATTTGCTGGTAAACAGCATTCAAAGTAACGGATTTGGTGTGTCTAAAAAAACAAAAAACAAAAAAAACGTCTCTTTTGTCCAGACACCCACATGCATGCGCACACACACACACACACACACAGACAGTGTGTCTACGTGTGTGCATGTGGGTGTCTGGACAAAAGAGACGTTTTGTTTTTTTTAGACACACCAGCTGCAGTGTGGCACTGGGGGGTATATTGCTCTTGGGCTCTTCTCTAACGGATGGTGACATTGGGGAAAAGTAATTTCCTCATAGCTTTGAAATCTTCATGTAGTCTTGTAACCATGTTTTCTCATAGCGCGTTATGAAACATTCACCAGCATCATCAATCCACACGAGAGATTAATATCCAATTTATACAGTAAGTGTAAACTATAACATTAAATAAATTAATATTTTATGTTATATATTTATATAATTCATTTTATTGATATCTTGAATATAAAAAATGCATCTAACTTAAACGTTTTAGATGAGTAGTAGTTGTAACAGTTTTAACAGTGTTTGCTCCCACAGTAAATAATAACAACAGACAATATAAGTAATTTACCAGGCGCAAATTGGTTGTTGCAGAGTTCGGAGTGGCAACATTTGCTGTTGATCACGACTTTACTGATTCCAAAGTTGAGTGAGGCCTCCATGCATTCTTCAGCCAAAGCACAGCTTTTTGATGAGACTTCATTCACATTTGAACCACCTGCAACCAAAGAGGAACCTTTGTAGACTGAACCGGGATAAAGAGGTTTTACCAAAAAAATAACACAACACAAATGACGCTACCTGCATATGAAGTTAAAGTGAGTGCGCCACACTGGTGACCTGGCGAAGGACATTCTTTTGAGTCTGTGCAGTTTCCTGAGCTTCCCGCTACACACTCATAACATTTCAAGGTGTTGGCTGTGGAAACGCAATATTCACATAACTTTAAAAAAAAGATAAAAATAAATAAACATTTTCATTTGTAAAGGTAATCTTGTAATATATAACAAGATATGTTCAGTACATTTTAGATTAAAGTTCTCTTTCTCTTAAAAATAACAACAGAATATAAACTTGCCTTTAGAGAGAAGGACAATCCCCAGGATGAGTGTAAGGAGATGCATTTTGTGATGGCACGGTAGAACAAGTCTCAAGTAGGATTTGTAAAGGTTATAAGTAGTTCTTTTGGAAAGGGGTGGTACTCGTCCTCAGACCACTCCTTTGCAGGTTTTCCCTTTACCACTGAACAAGGGGAGCGGCGCCACGCCTGCCCACCAAGGAAAAGCTAGAATTAAAATGAAAAATGCGTTGCATCTGCTTTGAAAGTGAAGGCAAGTAAAGGCAATATTACTTGTATAGCACATTCAAAAAACAAAGCAATTCAAAGTGCATCTGCTTTGAAAGTGAAAAAAAGAAAAGCATTGTCATTTCACTTGAATTCTTCTTGTGCAACGTGCTAAAAAAACATCAATTTGTGGATAATGTGTAATGCTGTAATTGTAAGGTTGAAAGAGAGACAATGTTATCATTAAGATTTTCATAATCATTAACTGGTCGGCAAAATGTGGTCACCGCGAAGACGTGATTTCAACGTAATAGTTCACTTAAAACGTCCTAAATATGGAACCTAGGTCAACATTGGTAACCCTTACTTTGTGGATGTGAGACACAAAGCGTGCTTACCTTTCAATGTCAGTCTAATAGCTGGATTTCTGACAATTTACACAATTGTAGAAACATTGATCATCGAATCATCATTTTCACAGAGGTTTCTCAACATGTAAGTTTCCAAACACTTAAATTTCTTCGTAACTTAACTTACTTTAAAACATGAACTGAAATAAAATATTATATATACGGAAATTTAAAATACCAAAATATTATACACACACACACACACACAGAAGAACCCTTATAGTATTTATTGGACAGGTTTATGGGGTTTCCCTTTTTGTCTTGAAGCAGAGCTGTTGTGCAGTCTAACAGCAGCAGGGAGGAAGGAATCCAAAGCTAAACACGGAAAGCGTGATAGTTTTATGAAGGAGAGGTTTTTAAGCAATATGTTATCTGAGCTTGACCTGTGAGGACAGCGCAATAAAAATCACCCAGAGACAAAATGTGTTTTACTCGAGTTTCCTTTTATTTTTGATTTTAAAAAGATTTAAAAAAAAAATAAACTACTACTATTTTTTCATGTGTGCACCATCAGATAAAAAAAACAATCTATAATGGCTTGTAAATAAAAATAAAATATCACATCTATTTAAAATAGAATGTTTCCTTTTCTTCGCTCTCGTTACTGGTGTGCAGTGGTGTAATTTCAACATTTAAGGTACAGGCCTTTCTGACACTGAGTGCAAAAAGTTTGCCGCTTTTCCTTCGACCCAATGTCTTCATCGGGTGTCATGCTGAAACACCAGACTCTTCATCACTGACCGGGTGTCCAGCTTCGCTTGTCCCTCCTATAGGGTGCAAACGACGGCGTCCACTTTCAGAGACACATGTTCTATTACGTGAAATGATTATCCAACATAACAGCTCGCAACTGCTGCTGTTTGTGACAGCAGTTCAAGCGATGTGTTAGCTGAGCAGGCGGCTGTACTCCGAGAGGGCCGAGGACTTTTTTACCCCATCCCAAATACGAGCTGAATAATGAAACCTGTAAAAAAAACAAAAAAAACAACACAAGACAATAATAACTAAAAGTGGATTCACCTGTTGCAACAAATGAGTTTGGTTGTTTGAGTGCATTTAGCTTTTCACAGCAAAAATGTGTGGGTGTGAAATGCAGAAGAGAACCTTTGATGTTGCTGTTTATGCAGTAAGGAAATGAATAAGACTGAAATTGAGCTGGTTCAATTGATACATAAAGGAGATCCATCCATTGTCAAACCACTTATCCTGCACACAGGGGTCCCGGGGGGGCTGGAGTCTATCACAGCCAACTTCGGGCGAGTACATCCTGGACTGGTTGCCAGCCAATCGCAGGGCTACACAGAGACACACAACCATTCACACTCCTTTTTTGCCCTACGGGCAATTTAGAGTCCCCAATCAACCTGATGCCCAGAGCATGTCTTTGGACTGTAGGAGGAAGCCGGAGAACCCGGAGAGAACCCACGCAGACACGGGGAGAACATGCGGACTCCACACAGAAAGGCCACTGGGCGGAGTCCAAACCAGGACCTTCTTGCTGTGAGGCAACAGTGCTAACCACCACGCCACCGTGCCGCCCTTACATAAAGGAGATATGCTCTATATTTACTGCTAAAACCCAATTCATATTAATTGCCTGTTTCATTGGTAAATTAATAATGTTAAGGATAACATTAGTCATTTAATATCTAAAACTAAAAAGAGCACTTTAAGATAAGATTAAATGAAAATGCTTTTTCAACACTTAGATCATACACCTGGTCATATTGTGCACCTGTTTGATCATTAATACAAATGTATCTAACAGAAAATCAACTACTTGTATTTTTCAAAGAACAATGTGATGTTTACCAGTTCTTCTCAGTGAGGATGGAGTGAGACAGTTGACAGCGCGGCATAGCCAATATCTGGCTGCGTAGTTTTGAAACCATGGTTGAGAAGGCAGGATGTCCTCTGTACCCCGGAAGGAGGGAGAAGAGCGGGTATGTCCCCGTCCCTAAACACCGTACAAAGATTAACTCCCATTGCACACAATTTAGAAGAGAACAATTGTTGAGTTGAAGATGAATTGTATATAACCTGTTTTAGTCAGGGTATCCTCCCCATCATTCTCCTGCATAGGAAGGAGGAACATGTTGACTTCTGTGGCCAGATATTCCTGCTCCAAACCAGGGAACATGTTGCAGTCCAGCATGGACAATGTACCTAAAGACAAACCAAGTATCATCCATGAGTGCAGTTGCGGCATCATGTAGCAACCACTCTTTGTTAATCAAATTTCTCAAACAAATTCAAACTTACAACCACAGTGTTGTTGATTGAACAATGTATTTCCATTAAACAAGGTGAGCCTTGTAAGACAGCCACAAAATGAACAGACTATGTTAATGTTTGAAGATAATAGTATTGCGAGTTTTAACCTTTGTATTTGAGATGAGAGTGGGCCATTAATTTGTCCACAACCATGTACATGTTTTTGAGATTCTTCGGGCAGAAATCATCTTGTCTGGCTTTATTCTGGAGGAACACTGGACGAGAGAGAAATAAAAAAAGGTCATAAAACCTGGTTGCTGAGAGTGATATTTTGTGCTTCTGCATTAAAAAGTCACCTATATGAGGATAGTACTCTGCTCCATCGTCGCTGCCTGAAGAGCCAGTGCAGTCATGGCTTGCAGATGGAGTGGAGGGTTTCAACATCTCAGCAGTCTGAAGGAACCTATCCACAAACAAAACAGTTCATTCTCTGTACGTGAGATTTTGGCTGCAACTGAAGGGTAATTAGCAATGTTTCAATACATGTGTGAGTATATGAATGTCATTTTAATACATACTTTCAAAACATTTAAAGGAAGTTCTGTACTTTTAAAGCTACTGTTGCTCAGTTGTTACCACTTACACAAAACAGCTTTTACTTTCAACTAGTGAAACTGTGAGGTTTGAATTTTTCAAATTAATTATCAAAACTTACTCTTCCTGCAAGAATCTAGAACTGATAATATTGCTTTAGCTAAGAAGGGTTGTAAACAAGTGAGACCGCTACGGTTTCAACCAACTGGAATTTGCCTGCATTTGTCTACAAGACCAACTGAAAGAAGCTTACGTAAAGGCAGAATACAAACATCATCTCCAGATGAAATGCTGAACATTCTTGAGGCAGAAGGGGGCTTTGACAGCTACCTTCTTCTCTTGTCCCGTGAATATTGGGAACAACTGTGAGACAGAGCTGTTGCAGGCTAGTAGGTACCAACCTGTAGAGGTTTAAGTCAGTGAACCAGTCTTGAACCACAATGACCACATGGCAGACCGTAAAGAGGAAGGCAGCGATTTGAAGAGACTGTTGAAAGATTATAAACAGAATTATAATGTGTCACATTTGAAATGTTTAGAAGTCCAAAGAAGTGTCCCCGCTGCCATCTGCAGGCCAGCCACTGACCTGCATTTCAACATATGTGTGAGGGAGGTTGTACTCAGGAGGCAACTTCCGATCGTTGTTGATGAGGTGGTCGAGAATGGATGGGCTGAGCATTGGCTGAAGAAAAGAATAAAACATTTCACACACACCGCATTAGTCCTTAACCAAACCGTGTTTTAAGTTAGCCGCAACTACTCTCTAACCCGAGGCAATGTTATGATTTACACACAACACAGCAAATGGAAAATACCACAAATAAAGGAAGATAAAGTGCATCTGAAATACTTCACCTGTGTATCCAAGAAGATGACTCTCTCCTGTGTGATGAAGAAATCAATCCCTGTACTCTGGTTTCCTGCTCTTTCCTTGATTTCCGGGCTCTGGGCTCTGAATACATAACCCCTGAGAAAATAAACGTGCATCCCATCATTTAAAATGACAACACTAGTTAAGCTTCAAGAAAAGATGAAAACTGCAATTTAGAAATGCATAAAAAATGATGAAACGGTTTGAATAAAAAATTCAGCCACTTCTCAATTGTCTTGAAACAAATTTGATGTGATGATTTCTGTTGTGTGTACAGTATGACTAACTGGACTGATTTCAAATAAGTATAATATCGCCCCTATGTGTTCAGAAAGAGTATCTTCACTTATTTATTGCAGCCTTAAAGTCTACCCGATGAGGAAATTTATACATTTACATTTTTAATGGCTGTATTGTTAAAAATGATTCTACCATATAAGATGATATTTCCCATTATCGTCATAAGCCTCATCGTTGTCAGCATCCTTAAACCGTGAACCATTTGGTTTCTTTATCATTAAAAGAAACAAATGCATATAACAAGCATTTGACACGATAGAACATACGGTCTATGTTACACCGATCTCACCTTTGATCTTCCTCAGGAGTGTTGGCAGACAACAGTGACATGATTGTAGATTTCCCGCTTCCCTGCAGGCCGATGACTCCAACCACCAACATATCTGTCTGGTCCCTCAGATACTGCAATAAATAACAATAGAAGTCCCTTCAAATACATACTGTGCCTGGTATTGAAGGTACACACGCTCTGTGTTCCACAATCAATGAAAATTCCTGAAACACCAGCTCACCTCCATGGCATTGTCACACCAATTCATCTGGTCATCCACGAGCTTGATGCTGTGCTTCATCTTCTCAGGAGGGAGCAGTTTAGACTGACCAACCATGGCTGAAAGTCATGCGAAAAGATTCAAGATTTACTTTTTGTTTGCCGGGGTAATTTAACCTTATTGAGTGCATCAAAGTTTGTTTGGAGAGCTCACGGTCCACAGCGCTGCTCGATGCAGAAGCACCCATTCCTCTGTTTTGGATTTGGTATACAGGCTGGGTTGGTCGCTGCCCCTCCCTCTCCATCTTGGAGGGCCCAGGACCAGAGGGTTGAGCGGCCGCATCAGGAGGGGTACCCAGCTTCCCTCCATCATCCCTGGCTTTCATTAGCATGATGGGCTTCTCCAGGACCGCAGAGCCACTGACAGGTGCGTTCTGTGAGGGCTTGGCCTTGAAAAGGATCCAACAACAGCAAAGGTCAATAGATCGCATGACCGGAGAGGTAGAGGATCTCAATACCTTAATCAAGCTGTACTTTCTGCAACGCTCATGTTAACTTTGACTTATTTTGTTTACTTTGTTGATGTGGTCTTAAATTCTGGAACGAAGTACAATTACCGTACATTACTTTGGGCAAAAACGGCTGCCAAGTGAATTAGCTTAAATGTATTTGTTACCCACACTTTCCTCTCAAATTTGATAAGGACACGATTTCACATATTGCAGTCATGCATAAGAATATTTTACTTTGTATTCGATGAGAAGCATTTTATAATTACTGCTTAGTATCGCAGATAACTAAACATACCCTCTCCCCTGGGGGTTTTGCTAGAATGATGGGTGTCTTCTGAATGAGTGGGCCTGGTGGATCCTCGCTCCCATCCTGCAGGGAGAAGTTAAGATTGAGAGTCACTATTTTTGAGCAGAAATTACGCTCGTAGTCAGAACCCACTCCACTTATGCTAGAGTGTCTTCGTATTCTAGCGCTAGCTAACGTCGACGTTACCCTGCGTTCCCTCGGTTGATATTCCCGATCCCGACTGGGACCGGACAGATTTTGCCCCGGAGGTCCTACATCTCTGTCCCCCCGGCGTCGCCTCCTCCTGCGTCCTTGTCCGTACATCCCGGGCTGACTGTGACCGGACTCTGACATGTCGCCGCTCACCCGAGTCACTACAACTGCTGCCGACAGTAAGCTAACGTCAGCTAACGGGCGGGAGCCAGTCCGAACAGGGGCGAGCTAGAGACACTGAGGTATCTTCTAAATAAAAAATAATTCTACACCAAGCTTAAATAACGTTATAACTTATCTAATGGTGACATTGATGACAGTTATAGGCTCGTGGAATCAGCTAACGCTTTCCGAGTGGGGCAATGTAACGTTAAGCAGCAGCCAATCAAACGAGCCTCGTCCGTCTGTTAAATAAACTCGTAATGAAACATTGCAATGGCGTCAGTAGTTCCGTTAGTTCTTGGATCAGTGTGCTCGCGTGAATTTACGTTATATGATGACATCCAATCGTTTTTCAACTTGTTTTGTTTGTTTGCTTGAATTAAACGAGGTGACGGAAAATTATAATAATATATATAAAATAAATAAAATAAAAAAATTGAGTATGCATGTAGAATTGCATGAATTTACTATAACACACAAGGGTTATTAAAGAATGTCTATGTGTACATTACAATGCATAGAAGGATATAAAGAATAAGGAGCAGCGAGCCGTATGACAATGTGTATTCGTAACATAGAAGAGGGGCATCCAGGAATTTTTATTACCTCACTAGGAATGTGATATATTCACTTATTCAAAATGGAGGCTGTGCGAGGCATCAAGTTGTACAAAAAAAACCCTCCTTTTAGGGAAACTACTGCACTGGAACTACAAAAATGGACAGTTAGAACCACAAGAGGACAGGGTGGTGATGTCAGAGCCGGTGGCGTAATTAAACCAACCCAGAGCTAGCTGCCACCTGTTTAAATTGATAATAAATCCAACACCAGGATGTTTAAATGAGAAGGGACAACGCATGTGGGAGGGGAATACATGTATATTCGTGGCTCACAAGCTTCACAAGGTTCAGCACAGATGTTGATAGACAGCTGTTAATGGACTATGGACTGCTGAGGCTTGTGTGGTCCTCGTATAAGCGTCTGTGTACATATTTTAGTCATACATATTCAGGTTAAATTAAGTTTTTTATTTAGTCGGACAATCAGAGTAATACCAATGTAAGTGATTGAAAACGAGTTTGCCCGTAAATCCTTAAAATTCAACATCCTGGTGCATTCTGGGAAGTGTAGGCGTCCTTCTTCCGGCTTTCACCGGATATGGAAGCGCTCGCTTAGCGGGCGCCATCAACAACATGACGGTGCCGCTTCAAATCTGAAATTTTAAGGGATTCTCTCTTTTTTAATGTGCTTCGTCCCGGCGTGAAGGTTGACGTTGACACCGTCGTTCTACGCCCAGTTAAAGTTACGTTACCCCGGACAACCCGCCGGGATCCATCAAATGGTTTCTTCGTTCCTCTGTGCTGCAGGCGGCAGTTGTTGGGTCGGTGGACAGAGGTTAGTAACGTTACTGGTCCCCGGTGCAGGTGAAAGTTGTATTGATGTTAGGTCGTTTTTTTTAAACACCGCCGTCCTCTTAACGGTGAACACATGTAGCGTTAGCCGAACATGGAGAAACGGCTGTAAATAGAAAAGTAGTGTAACTGGATTCCGTCGGCAGTGAATACCCCAAACTCAAGAAATGAAAAATGTTTGTTTTATTTGGTTAACTTAATTGAACGTTAACAGTACGTTAAGTCAATTTTTAACACTTCTCACACCCACAAGTAACCATTAATTCCAAACTACATGTTATTGAAATGCTACAACAATGATAACAGACGAACACAAGGACACCAGTAAGAGTCCGAGCGAGCATCTTTATGAAGAGTAGTTGGACACACGAGATGCTTTGAGCTAAATGCTAACACACGGTGCTAACGTGCTAACAGTTTACAACTGTGCTGTGCTCTTATCAAGCAGTTATACACATCTTAGTGTTAGTGTGCTAACGTTTGCCGTATTAACAAAACTCAGCTGATGGGAATTTATTAGTTTTCAGATATTTAGTCATAAACCAAGCTCTTATACTCATTGGAATGTTGACCCAATGATGGGGTTAGATGTCGGAGGATAACTTGATAGTGGGCTTTAACCTCTGGGGACAATGCATTTCTATTTGACTCATAATTCATAACAATGGTTGACACCATGACATCATATGAACTCATTCATTTTTTGTCAGTCAAATAATTAGTAAAGATAATCATGGTTTCAGCTCTTAACCAAACATAATTGGTGTAGTTTGCCTAAATCTTACTAAGTTCATATGATAAAAGAAAACATTCATGATCGTAATAATGATAATGTCTGTAAACCGTAATAGCTAAGTAAATAGCTGTCTGCTGTAATGCTTGTTGTGGGATTTATTCAAACGTGTCAAACTGATTTTGTCCATTCTACTTAAAATTGCAGACCGGCCAGAGGATTGCCCTGACCTGCTCATTATGTCTGAAGACTTGAGCAGCGATGAAGAATGGTGTGCATCCGCTGAGAGGAAGCACATTGATGCACACCGAAAGGCCAAATGTTGGGAATGTGGCAAAACATTTGGCAAAATTAAAAGCTTGATGTTGCACTACAAAAGCCACAACGTAAAAGCCACCTGCCACATCTGCAAAGTTAACTTCCGACGTCTGACGTCTCTCTCCATCCACCTGGATAATGTACACTTGCCACCCTTTTGCAAAAAGTGCAACCAGTATTTCAGTAGCTCGTGGGAATTGAACAATCACGTGGAGACACAGTGCATCGGCTCGCCAATCAAAACACCTCCTCTTCTGATGTCCGGGCCCATGTGTCAGAGTCAGAACAGTGACAACCTTCCTATTGACGAGACTGCGCAGCATAAAACAAAGTCACTGCAACGTGACACGGCGTCGGAGCCGAGGCCTCCGCAAAGCGCTGAGATGAAGCCTGAGAAAGCTGAGGCATCTGATAGCAATTTAGATTATGTACTGGGTGCAGAGGATAAAGATTTTCACATGGAAAACGACAGTGAGAAAGCAGATGACTCATCGAGCACTGAATCTGAAGACGAAGATACACCCTCAAAATCTGCAGACTTGTGTTCAGAGGATCCAGAATCTGATGGTGACTCGAGTTCATCCAATTCTTCCAGTGACTCTTCTCACAGTTCGCACTCTAAACCCCCCCCGGCAGCTCTCCCTAGTGTTGATAGCTCAATATGTGCTGCGTGTGGCAGAGGGCCATTTCGGTCAATGAAGCTACATTTACTGCACTGTAGTGGTATACGGGTCAAATATCAGTGTTCAGTGTGCAAGAAGCTGTTCCTAACCGAGGTGTCTGTTAAGGAACACTACATGCCTTTGTATTCTTGTGAAATCTGTAGCCAAGTTTTTCCTTATGAGAGCTCGTACCAATACCACCAGTGTCCCAAGGGAGCCAAATCCCCCCTGGTCCTCTTTTGTCCAGAGTCAATGCCGCAAGCGTGTCACATATGTAAATCCTTTTTCACCTCTGAGAAAACGTTGTTAAACCACGTGACTAAAGTTCACACATCAGTGGTCAGCACCAAGGTGTGTATCATTACCAACCCATCAGCATTGACCGATACAAACGTTTCCCCCTGTGTCCTCAGGACAGCAACCACGGTAGTGGACAGCAATCCAAAGGAGGTCTTTCAGGTCATGCATGGGCAGTTCCGTGCTGGCCAAACCTACGTAGGGTCTCTAGCCACTGTTGTGAAATCCAGCCCTCCCCCTGTCTCGACCTCCTCCCATGCAGACCGACCACATGCCACTATAAGCACGGCGCCTGTTAGATCGGGGAAACGCCGCGCCCAAAGTCCAAAGAACCGGCCTTTAAGCAGTCGGCCCGCCCCTTCATTTGTCCTTCCCGAAGCCGCTGACTCAACGGCAGCCGCCGCGGCCTCCCCTCCCGTCACGCCGCCGTCGCCCACGATTATGGCCTTGTTTAAGAACGACAGCCACAACGCGGCTCTGATGAAACGCATGAACGCCGGCTGGCGTTCCAAGACCCCTTACCCCTGCAGGCAGTGTGGCGCCATCCTGCGGCAGCCCTCTTTCATCATCAGCCACCGCTACCTCCACAAAGGCCGCCGCTCACACAAGTGCCAGTGCGGAAGAGCTTTCAAGAACCTGCTGCACCTGCTGCGACACTGCGTGCAGCACGCGGAGACTGTGAGCTACATCTGCGTCGGCTGCGGGGAGTCTTTCGCGGGAGCCAAGCACTTTGCTGAGCACACCGAGGACAGGTCACAGAGGAGATCCTTTTCTGGACATACTTGGAAACGTAAAGTTAAGAGAGAGTGCAGATGCTTTTACATGTGACTGCGGGCAGCGCTTTTTAGGTCCTCGGCTTTCATTGGCATCAACTTAAAACAGACTGCTGTAAGAACTGAAGAGCTTGGAATGACAATGCAGATACATCCTTTTTAATTTGCTTAAAGTACTTTCCTCACTATTGCATCAACTTTAAACAAAGGTTACAAGAAATCATTCACATTCAAACCTGCAAATTCATAAGGAGTGAAAAAGGTTGGTTGGGGGGGGGGTCAAAAAGTGAGCCGATGTAGAATAATCTATGATACAAACTAGGCTGGGTGAGGTTGGATTTTCTTAAACTCCACATTGCAGCAAACCATGTTCAATCAAGACATTGGGATTATTGCTAGAGTACAGTCTGTTTCATTTTTTAATGACAAGATTTAATGCAAAAGCACATAAAAATACATTAATCTTTAATGCCTTTTACTTATAAGCACGTCCTGGAAAGTTCTAAACATGGTTTCACCTTGTGGAAATGATACAAGACACGAATAAACAATGCGTCAACAAGTTCCTTATACATTCTTTTGATATTAGACAAGTGTCCAAATGAACCAAAATGGAACTTTTTCCTTTATTGGATTCAATTAAAACCTCAATAATCCAGTTCATCCTCCAGAGAAAAAGTTAATCCAGTTTTGCCATTTATTTTCTCTACAAAGTGCATTCTTAACAGTGAGGTTTGTATTGGGAGTCCTCTTGTTTTCAGATTCCCTGTTATTGCTAATTCAAATGTTTTGGTCCTGTGGGACATTATAGAGGTTATATATTAACGATGAAAACCGCAAGTTTTTAGTTTTTTTTAAAGTTATATAACCTCCATGATTTCAATGTCAATGTTCCTTCATATCATGGATTTCTATCGTTCAGTCCACTAGATGGCGGTATTGTGTTGCTGAAATACAACTCACATGCTGGTTGTATTGTTCACAGAACAGGTGTCAACTGTGAAATGCTATTTTTGCAGTTTTTCTCTAAAACCCAAGGATTAACAGTGGGAAATAAAGATCTTTTTCTACGATACTTGATTAAAGTTTGTTTTGATGTTCATTCTCAGTTCAATGGAAGGGGGAGAGTAAAGCAGAACAACGAGGAATTGTCAAGAGATTGCATTATTTTCAATATGCCTGTTTGTGAACACTAACCATTCGACTGTCTGCTAATGAAAAAGATCCTGACTGGCTTTTCTTATAAAACGCATTAGGCTAACACTGTAAATAACTGCAAGCAATATCAAATAAAATGAACATCTCAGAATATGAATCTTATATCAAAGGAATAAGGCAGTGATGGAGTCAATCCATGAAACTTCAATCTATACAGCGGCACTTTTGACAAAGACTCTCCAGAGTCCTTGTTTTAATCCTTGGTTTTGCATATTAAGAGTCAAGAGCACTTCCAGTCAGTCCATGTCTCACTCTCATGAATACTGTAGATGAAAGCAGATAATTATCCGTCTCAGTACCACGTGAATGTAGACACTTCAACTGCAAAAAAACAACAACAAAACAAGTTGTTATTCACGGTTCAGCTTGGACACCACACCCTGTGTACTGACAGCAGACCTGTGCGACGTCGCTGGCCGCCTTGAGTGCGTCTTACCTGCTTTCTGGGCTGCGGGGACAAAAGACCTGAGACAGTAGCTCTGAGGTTTGCTGGTTGCAGCGACTCAGCTCGTCCAGCTTCTGCTCCATAGAGAGGATACGCTGCTTCAGCTCTTCATAGGACTTATTCCAGTTGTTGCTGATGTCGCAAATCGTCTGCATCTGTTGACATCGTGCACATAAGAGCAAATGCAAAGGATTTTGTATTCACAAGGGGAAAAAACTGAGCTCCAGCGGCAGTTTAATATTACTAAATTGGGTGAGAACTGTTTTTTTTTCATATCTATCTGGCGGATACATTATGACGACTCTCTGTCTAACTACCTGACTTGTAACCAACCGGGTGTAGAAGCTGTGTCGTTACGTTCAGCAGGCCTTCTTGCCGGCTCGTTTAAAAAAAAGAGGCCAACAGCAACAAATCTTGTTTATTTTTCAGTCCGCGCCCCACAGTTGCATTCAGTAAGCGTGTGGAGCTTGTTTGCTTTACTGCACGGCATTCAGACTGTAACTACCTGATTGCAGTGGTTTGACGTCTTAACAAGGGGCAACACTTGTAGGCTGGAAAAACTAGGTTTGTTTTGACAATAAATCAATTAGGAAAAGGCACAAATGACCCATTAGTGCCTCTCTCTGGGTAACGTCTTTATATCTTGCGGTATACAACATGGAAAACTTCTCTGGGCCTGTGAATTCCTGACACAAATGACTCCTGAGATATTTTATGGAGATTCTTTATCGAGCATTTCATGTCTGAACAGCTAGCAAATATCAGCTGATTGTAAAATACTGCAAAAAACTGTAAGGACAGTGTTTCTCTCATCTTTTGTTCATTAGCCTTTCCAGTAAAACATCCCGGTGACAGCTGTCATTCACCTTAGAGAGGTCCGCCATCTCACTGATGTAATCGCTCAGCATTTTTTCTTTAAAGCGTAGATGATGGAATCTGTGCAAAAGGAGAGCTTTAATAGATTTCAGTCATGTATTTGAAACATTTTCCTTGTTCCAGTCAGGGCGAAGGGTTCAGTTCAAGGACATTTCATGTTCTTTTGCCAGAGTTCTTTTTTTTTAAACAACCCTTTATGACGTACATTTTGTTAAGTCACTATCCATCGTAGAAAGAGGTGAAATACCTTCACATTTGCATTGTTATTGTGGCAAGATTCCAGGAAAGAATTGCGGTATTACAGTTTTTCTCACTTGTTTACCCAAAATCCAACAAGGCCCATAATTCTTAATTCTGAAAAATGCATGTTAGTGTCTCGCTTCAGATGAAGCACAAGACTCCAGACTCACAAACTCAAAGCATGATTACTTTCTTTCCACCTAAATAGAATACTAAAACAACCAGAACTGTAATCTTAAGCATTGTCACTCTAAAAGCTTCAAATAGTTGTGAAGTGCACATCTGCAAAGTGTCCAAGTGTTGGACAAATGGAACAGTCATTGTGGCACAAGAAAGAAACATTGATATGTGGAGGAATACGCTGACTATTCAACATGCAGAAGTCAGGCTGCGTTCGTTAAATAGCTATAAAACATTGGTAGTAAGTTTAGTCTAGTAAGCAAGTTTCTCAAGTGGAGAGGTGGAAAAGCGCTAAATATAGTCTCCTGTGTATCATTAAACCGCGAAAAAAGATATACCGGAGCCAATATTGCAGCCAGTCTCTGGAGACGTTAGTCTCATGATGTTCATGTCCAATGCTCAAACTTTCAACAGTGTTTTTACTTGTAGTGGCTCTAAGCAGGAAGTACAAGCCCTCAACCAAGTGCAACACGCAGTAACACAAATACTCCCTGTGTCTGGATAACGAAGCACAACATCACACTTCTGGACTTCTTGTGCAATCCACTTGTTCCTACAAGCTTGAGCTCAATAACAGACACAACTCGTAGGGAAAAATATATGCAAGAAGAAGAAGACAGTTCTGGTGGGATATCAATGTTTGGTTGCCTGTGTGTGAGTAAGATATTTGCCCTTAATTTGGTGTAGCAAAAGGGTGGACCCTTGTTCACACTCGCCTCAACTACAGAAAAGAGGGCGGCAAATCTAATTAGTAATCTAAAAAACATCCATAAAAACTGTGACTCAAAGCTGTTGACACAAAGTCGGTGACCTGTAAAACACACATGAAGGCCACGCAACTCATCACCGACGTGCATCCCCCGCCCGGCAGGCACCCAAACACACAGACTGACGTCCTGCCGGAAGCCACCGTCGTGTGACGCAGTAACTCACACTGCGATGGCGTCCAGAAGGCATCTCTGGTGCCTTCGATGCTCAGCGGGGTTCCCCTTGGGGGTGGTGCGGTGCAGAAGCCAGCATTCCCTCACTACGTTGGCAGCAGCGTGCCGGACCTGGTGAAGAGAGGGACACATTAAACTCGATTGATCAATCAGTAGGAGTCGCGACCATGATAACACCGTCGAGATAAGACCATGGAGATAACATCAAGCAAACATTTACAGGCTTCATGTGGCGCTTATCATGTTTTTTAGACAGGACGTGGTTCATCTCAATCATTTTTGCATAGGAAGTGCAAGTGTGAGTCAACTAGGGCAGCTGATTAAATCTAGGTAGTCCATTCTGCTCAACTATTTAAGCTACATTTAGAACCACAAGGACTTGTGTAGATGCTCATAAACAATCATTTGAAAAGGCCTCACAGACAATAAGTGAAGGATAGAACTTCTCCGGTATCACCTTTGCACCTTTCTCTTTGATTCTATTCATGTGTGTTTGGCTTCCTGCACAAATCACTGTGCCCTGTTATGATGTCACTCTGTCACTCTGTCGTGAGGGTTATTAATAGAGGCTGCCAGTGTCCCTTGTTCCCTTTGGTGTAAATCTGGACTGCACCAGATAGCTCCGAAGGATGCACAAAAACACACACACACACACACACACACACACACACACACACACACACACAAAGACTAAAGCAAAGCATAAAGATGCAGCAAGTTACAGGATGCAGCCAACGGGAGAAAGGAAATGGTTGTATCCTCCAAAGCAGCGCACCTACCAACGTCGGACACCGCTTTACACAGCTGGCGAGTGGCTGTAACATAAACTGACACATTACATAAGGAACTCTATCCAGCATTACACCAGTGTCTGTAGTCCTGAGACACTGTTCTGGTTTCAACACTTTCATGACTTCCTTCATAGTGTTTTTTTTTTACCAGACACCTGCTTGCTCCGATCAGCAGGCAGACACTGGAATCCTGTGCAAGCCCACTAACAAAGTCCACTGGAAGCCACTTCCACACACACTCACACACACACACACACACACACACACATCGACTCAGTCGACCAGTTTCCTGCCCATCGCTTTCCTGACAGAGATCAGGTGATTTCCTCTGTTTGATGCCTCGATGACGCTATGAAGAGGTTGACTTTACCCTACTCTTCTCCCACACTATACTTTCCTCTGGTGTGTCTTGTTGACGGAAACAAATCATTCTAATAAGACCTGAAGACTTCAAAACACGGAAGCCACTCATAAAGTAGTGACTCTTTCATCCTGGCTCCATCCGCTTTGTTGTTCTTATTTGTCGTGCTGCAGTGCAGTAACCTCGGTTGGAAGGGAGGGCAGTCAACTGTTTACTATGTGGTTGAATAGGGAAGTCCGTTCAAATTGTTAGATCAATATTATCACAGAAATAACAAGTGGCACAAGATTTGTACTGCTTAGCGTTTATTTTGCTACATGACGCTGCACCTACATTGATTTTCTAGGTTAGACAGTAATTTTCCCTACATAAAGCTGATTGTAATGCGTTAATATTGGTATGAAAATGTCTTCCTCTATGGCAGGATGGTTTTACGTGCTTTTGTCTCCTTCCAAACGGATGACTTAATTTACATAACCGCCAATTATCTTCCAAAGCGTAAGAAAGCGTTAAGTTAATGTTGTCTGGTTCTGCAGAACAGACTTTTCTAATCATCCTGCACTACCACAGCTGCGTTACCACACAATGTTCCAGTGACTTTGACAACAATAAACACAGACGTGGTGTTCGCTGAGATAGATTACCTTACTCAAAAAAGCTCCAAGTTTCTGCAAGCTGGTTTTCATATACAATTAATAGGAAAGTACATTCCAAAATCTACATTTCAGCTGGTTTTTAAACAGCGTTTGAAGTAATGTAAAGTAAGCCTGATCTGTAATAAACCCGTGAGTTGCCATGTTCTATTTATAGATGTATTACTGTGTTTTCATAAGGGTAACTTTAGCATTATAATGTCATTTCGTGAAGTAACTTTTTTTCTCTTACCCTTTTGGAGAGCTTGGTGTTCAGCATGAAGAAGTGCACATGTTTCTCTCCTCTGTTCAAAGTCAGCATCCTGGTAACGACTGCCACCAGCATGACAGTGCAGGCGATACCCTAGAACCCAACACACACACACACACACACATAGGCGTCAGTGTGGTTTCTGAATAATCAAGTAAGCATTTCAGATTGATCCTGTAGATCGTAGTGACATCGACGAGGTAGAACTCAAGGGAAACTTTTACAGTCTTCTGTGTTTGGCTCCATCATTCCCCTCCTGGGAAAGCACTTCTTCAGAAATCTGAATGTTGATCTTCTTACCTCATTTGGTTTTATGCAATAAATCAAAGTTATATTTACTCAAAGAGTTCAATGGTTAAACACAGGCCTGTGGGGCACTGTTATAGTGCTGGTTTCCTCTGAGAATAGCGGTGTGCTATTGCTGGACAGGGAACTACGGAATAATGGTTATGATTCAAAAAGGCTGCAGAGCAAATCCCACCTACACACAGTCATACAAACAGACACTTCACAGGAAATGCAGACAAATCACCACGTTGATTTCATGTCCACACTGATAATCATAAAAAGTATTTACCTGTCTTCCTCTTTTTAGCTTGCATTAGAAAGAGAGAGAGAAGGAGAAAGCAATATACAGCATGAGGATAAAAAAAGGTAATTTTAAAAGATATATATATATATACTTGTCTTTCCCTCTGATGCTCACTATAATTACACCGTCTGTGAAACCTGGGCGGTACGAACTCTTTCCTTGGATCCATCCACACGCAGTGATGGGATGCAGACAGAGTTGTCAACTCCTGAACACAGCTGCAAATGTAGTTATTGCTGGAGTCAAGCAGAAGTGCCGACCATAGAGGTGTCCAGCCATATAACAGGTTGAGATCCCAGTGACTGGCTACTATAACTGCACCGATGGGAATAGTGCCTCAAATCACAGGCACGGGTTGGCAAATCCTCTTGTAGCAGTGCCAAAGTCAATAAACCACCTAAAAATGGATATGATGGAAAGTTTCCCCTTATAAGGATGGAAGCATCTAAAAACCAGGAGATGGAGAATGAGAGGGCGGTATAAGATCATTTTCCAGTCTGTCACTTAAGTTTCTGAAGCGGACTTGTGCCTCTGGAACCGCGGCAGGGATTCTTATCTGCTTGTTCCAGAATTTAACGCGTCAGAGGTGAGGCAGCGAACCATAATCCACAGCCACTCCCTCACTTTGTCACTTATTGTTCGTCTTACTTTACTGTAACGTCTTTAACCATTTATCTCCATCTCGGACGCTCCCTTCCAACTTTTTTTCAGTCTTCTACTTGCCACTCCTTTGCATGCACATTAAAAGACATAATGCACCTTGACAGGTTTGTTTTGCTTTAACTTGCTGCAACTATTTAACTAACTAACGTGATGCTTTCTATTCTTTCTCCCTGGGATACTTTAATATGTACCTTTTCTTTTCAAGGTATGACAAAAAAGAAGAGTCAGTCAGTTCAGCAAAACAATAGTATCATGTTTCCTGCAGATGTGTTGTGTGGGCTCCTCAGTTTTTTTGTGTGAATGCCTGGTACCATCAAGGTCCTACAGAAGCTCCAGCCTTCATTTAACAGCTGTGATCTAAATCACACACGTAGGCCATGTGTAATAAACAAAATTATGGAGAGGCTTGGATAGAAGTGAACTAGCTGAACCGAATATGAAATGGTGAAACCAATTTGGAAAATGGGGCACGAGCTTCTGCAGTGGAACAGAGCAGAAACAGAAAGGAATTGATCAAACCAGAGAGGATGATATGGAACAGAATAGAGCAGAACAGTATGAAATGGAACAGAAGGCCATCAAATAAAACAAACCCAAACACAATATATTGGAAGAATGGAAATCATAATAATGGATAAAATAAGTCCAAATAAAATACAGTAGATAGAAATTTATAGGAACTCAAATGGAACCAAAAGAATGGAGTAGAAAAAAAGAAGAAAATGAAAATAAGTGAAAGTAAATGAGAAATGGACCTTGGCCAAAACAACGCATCAGAACAAAATGAAACTGAGAAGGAATATATACAATACAGAAGTGAAACAAAGGTAAGACATTGTGTACAGTATATTGAACTGATCATTAAATGTATTTTGTGTAGAAACTACTACTGTTGTTCTTGCTAAAGTCGTTTTCTAATGAGAGGCCAACATAGACCAAACCAGTACTTGAAATGAAACTACTCAAAGGGTAATATACCTTGATATGCACAGACAATGGATCTCAAATAGACGTGACATTTCCATTATCTTAAACTATTCATGATAAAATAATCAACATCAACAAGCAACCCAATCCTAGTTACCGTGACTCCAGAGAAGAGACACAGAACTTTGCCATAGCTGGTGTTGGGCACCACATCACCGTAGCCCACGCCGAGGAAGGTGATGGCTATGAGCCACATAGCCGTGTCCATGTGGCCTGTCGTCGTTTGGTTCTGCCTGGATGAGGGAACAGCAGGAGGGAGACTGCGTTGTTACAAAACCTGTGTTCTGATGGACTAATTGAGGGCAAAATCACTGCCACATTCTAAACATAAATAAATTGAATAAACTTTTACATATGGTCAACCATAATCTAAACATTCACAACCTTTTTTTTTCTGATACCATTATATCAGTTGGAAACAATAACTTTTATGTTACAGCCTTATTGCAAACTGGATTCAATTTGTTTTTTCCTCAAAATTTGACACACAATCCCCCCATACGTGAAAAAGCTTGATCAATTTTTTTCACATTTATTAAAAATAAAGAACGAAAATATAATGTAAGTATTGGCAGCCTTTGCTAATACTTTGTTGCAGCACCTTTGGCAGCAATTATAAATTCAAGTCTCATGCTACAAGCTTGGCACACCTTTTCCAGGGACGTTTCTCGTATTCTGCTTAGCAGAACCTCTCAAGTTCCATCACTTTGGATGGGGAGCGTCAGTGCACATATTGCATATAGCCTGAGCCTTTTAATGCATGGCAAAAGCTGTGAAAACGTATGCACCTGTTACTGTATATTTTTGTTCCTTATATTTAATAGATTTACCATAGGTTCCAAAAATCCTTTTTCACTTTGTCATTATGGGGAGGTCAAAAATGAATTTAATCCCGGCTGTAACGTGAAGCGCTGTGAATACTTTCCGGATGCACTGTATATTAGTGGATGACACAGATTAGATTCCACAGTGTAGAGTTTAACATTTTATGTGCATTAACAATACTGTATATATCTGTATAAGAAACTCATTATTAATGAAAACATCCTTTAAAAATGTAGTTACTAATATGAAACAGTAATGTTCAGTGCAGGACAACATTTACCACAATGGCCTAATATTACCCCAAATATTAAAGTATTACAAAGTAGTATGAAAAAATGAAGGCCTGCCTCTCCTTTTCTAACTGTTGTATACTTGCTTAAAGGCTGGCAAAACACTGGTAATGAATTAGACTGAAGTAAATGTGTACAGTGTACAAATTCATCAATTCTTGCCAGCAATCAATTTCTTCAAAATGTGTACCAAATTTCCTTTTCCAGGAACCTAATGATTACAGTTCCATATAACTAACATCAATAAATTAAACCTTTCCTCAACATTGTGTGTGTTTGATAAAGGTTTGGTCTATTAATCAGACGGTGTTATCAGCGCGGATACTCTAAAGTACGCAGGAAGTGGCGGCCAATGTGAACATGTAAAACATTACAAAGCACAAGTCCAATGTGCACCTCAAGAACCACACAAGGAGATCAGTGTGTGAATGTTCATCTGATCATCTGTTCATCGGCACAACTGGTGAAACAGTTCAGTGTTAAAAGGTTTGGTTGCGCTTTAAATACAAATCCAAACACTTGGCACAGGCTCAAATAAGTAAAATTGAGGACAAAACTTCCTATTAAGAGTTCAGAAGAACAGATGATCTCACACTGTTTTACCAGTCAAAACGACTGTTTAGTTTGCCTGAGCTCAAAATTGATTTACATTTACTTACTCTCGCTATGAGGGTTAAGAGTAACAAAATAGAGCTGGATGATTATCAGGAATCAGGAAACATTTATTTGCCAAAGTATGTCAAACATACAAGGAATTTGTCTTGGCGGTTATAAATTGGAGTCAAGCTGCCAAACCTTTAGGTATTTTAATGTACAAGGAGTAGTAGTAGGGCTGAACTAGCGGACAGAGCTTTAGTGTGCGGTGTGTGTGTCCGTGTGCGTGTGAAGACACCTCTGATTTAAAAGAACAATGTGACTTTCATTCTTGAGAGTATTTGGGAAAGAAATCATAAAACAGTAGTCGTTGGTGCTCAGATGCTTGGTTGTTTCCTTTGAAATATGAGGAATTGCATTACAAAAAACTGTTGTCAATGATTTGAGATAAGATTTTAAAAGTTGTATTTTTTTAATTTAGCGCTAAAGCCTTTGATAAGCTAAATCCATCTCTTTGTATCGGAATAGAAACTTGTTTTGCTCATTTAAAATGTTTTTAAAAAAAAGATATCTTAGGAAGCCACAAGTCTGACCCAAAGGGCTCCCTTTATATAACTGCTGCAAATCGTATCAGTTGGTTAATTTAAGCATATTTCGTGATAAATTGTTCATTCTTTTCCATTGAAAAAGACAATACTTTGTTGATGTACCGCCTTATAATAACACTCACATATTTTGTGGCTCCTTTTTGCAAAAATAATAGTACTCACTATAATGTGAGAATACAGTATATGTCATCTAATTTTTTTTGCAAGTAGTCTTGATACTCAACACATATATCTCCTCCTACCTCTCACACAAAGTAAGCATCCAGGAGGCTGTAAGCCAGAAGAAGAGGATGAAGGCCAGCAGCATGCGCGCCGGGTATTTGTGCATCATTATCTTGAGTAAAAAGCGGAAGTTGAAGTTTATTTTGTTGAGCGAGCCGATGGTCCTGTAGGATGCGCTCAGCAGCACTTTGCTGTGCAGAAGGATGGTTCTGTGCACCAAGTACAAGCGAAGGAACATCAGCATAGATAACAACAACTCAATGTTCATCAGCGCCCCTCCTTGGTTGTTGTAAATACAGATTGGAGGTGAGGAAGAGGAGTTGGCATGGAGGCCCCACTCCCAGTAGGTGCCAACAGGATGGATGACACACACCAGCAGCTCCACAGTGATCGCAAGAACCCTGTGGTTGCTCATGGCAATTCGCCAGTCCACCTGTTTGTGGTCAATGGCAAACAGCTGGAAGATGGAAGATGACAGTGTAGAGACAGAGAGTTAGAGAACAAAAGTTTAGGTACTGACACAGACCAGTGTAAATACAATCACATACTGTATTCATGTTAACTTGATGAAATCATCCAAATCTCTCCTGTAAACCTGAGTACAAAACACTGCGTACAAAAAACACTTGTTTTGTACTCCGTCATGTCAATCCCTCCATTGTCACCTCTTATTTTCCGACGACTAATTGATGACATTATCAAAGCTCATGTTACCTGTTGTTACAAAAGTTCTAAAGCATTTTTTTTACTGGGTCACATGAAAACTGATCTCATATATTTGTGTTTTGCATCTTCAGCCTAATCAGCAGTTCTCCACTGTTCATTCTTTTTGTAAAGGTCCGTGATAAGAAGGCCCCAAAGATAGGAAATTACAGACACCCAACAGAAACCTGAGAGGAAAACTATACTGATTTGTTTGATTTGTTGTAGTAATGGGGATGCTTTTTTCCCCTGACGATATACCTCCTCATTTTGCCTTATTTTGTCCAAGAGATTAGAGAGAATGTCCACTGTCTCCACTCTCTGCTCCACTGACTTGAAGCGTTCTGATGTTTTTGGCTGGACTTAGTTTGTCTTGGGTGTCAACTCACAACTGACACCCAAGATTTGAAGCAACATTAGGAATCGCTGAACCCGGCCTGCGTTTTAGTCTCCACCCTTAGCTTGTCCTTCCTTATCTCCTGTTCGCACTTGTGCGCTTGTATCAGATGCACGGGACTTGCTAACACACTGACAACACTGTATGCCTGACAAAAACCTATCTGCACTCGTTCAATTCATCGAATATGCATGCTGTGAACTTGCAAAAGGGGAAAATAAAACGTTGTTTACTGCTTAATTTAGACCAAATCCCTTCACGTTATCCAAGTTCATACACAATGGCAGCGAGCCATTTGGATTGTAAAAATAGCTCAGCTACAAAATTGTGCAAGCCAGGGGATTTCTTCCAGGTTATATTTCTCGCGCATAACAAAGCTAATCGACGTTGAAGCTACCTTCAGTGACCAAGAGCTCCTTCTAAAACACACAGGTGTCTTGAGCAACGTATTATTTGAGCCAGGTTAATTAGGAACAATCGTTTACAGGTATAAAAAGCGGTGCGCACCATATAGCAAGCCCTTGAGAAAAAAACATTGCAGCATTGCATGCAATCGGGCAGGCTTTCACTTGCAACATCACAATGAGGATTTGCTACTTGTTGGAAAAAAAGGGGGAAAGGGAAACTCACCATGATGTCCTTATGATGGAAAAGTATGATGAAGATCAGGAGACACCCAGTGGATAGGCTGATGGAACAGTTGATGAATAAGGCAGTGTTTGTGCCCTTGGAAAGAAAAGGTGATAAGGCATAAAGATTTGATTTCTTTCCACTTATGTTTTCCATTATAAAAGTTTTATGAAAAAACTCAATGTCTAATATTAATACTATATTAATACTAATATAAAGCTTCTTCCATGGGGCCCAAGACAGTTTAAAGTGTGCTGGACACAAACAAAGGTTTTGTCACAGCTTTTCTTTACATCAAACAACAATTAGAATGTACTGCTAATTTTATTATAATAAAATGTTGGATACATCAATACAAATTAAAAAATGTTGGCTTCATGAAAGGTAAGATTACTGAGCCTCTAATGTAAGGCAAAAGAAAAAAAGCCACCCAGTGAAAAGCCATTTACAGAAACAAAGGGACTTGCCATTGAATACTTTTCATTCCAAGAAACAGACAGCCGTAGACAAAGATGAATTTAGAACTATAAGCATATTGCTTCGGCTGTACCACCTCTGTCCCAGCAGGTAAAGGAGCACCTCTAGCTTTCATTCATTCATCTCTGTGCAACTGATACGTCAATGGAAGTTTTAAACAAAAAGTGCAGTTTGATGTGGTTTACGGGTAAAAAGATAATTACAAACTTTCAAACTTGGGGAAACTTGAACATGTAGTTGGTATGGTGTGACGTCCGTTGGCAACGTAACCCATTTTCCACAGTTCCTCCTGTAGCATCCACATCACGTCTGTATTTCTTCCAGGGCCAATTAGAAGACCCCACAAAAGCTCAACATTTCACCACATTCCATAACAGAGAGTTCAGCAACATGTTTCTAGCCGAGTTTCTAAAATGTTTTTGAAACATTTTCATACTGGAAATTTCAAGCCCAAGGAACCCAATGTGGGTAAACCTCAAAACGATTGTTTCTCATCCCAATAAAACACTGAATCAGTGCAAAAGAAGGTGGTCTAGTTTGTATATATTGTAATAAAGAAATACTAGAACAAAGAATTTCTATATACATCTGACTGTGACTGACCTGAACTACACGCATCCTGAAATAAACTTGAGAAATAATATTCTGAAGAATATTATGCTGGGACATTGGGACAGTCATGTTAAAGGAAATAACACACTGAACAATTTTGACGTTTAGTTGCTATCAAGCACAAACTGTTACGTAGGCTACATAATCACCGCTGAGTAACACCAAATGGACATTTTGTTATTATCAATGTAAGACTGACGCAGTCAAGCGATGCTTCAGAAAAGGTCAGGGGAATGTCAATGAAATCAGAGAACTGATGTTTGTCACGGTACATGTGCAAAGCCCTGCAGATCACTTGCCCCCGACAACAGGGGAGTAGAATACAACTTCACTGCGCCCTGTGAAACAGGTTTTCCATCATTGCCTGTGGGACTTTTAGCGCTGCTGGTTTTCTGTCTTACCAGCCAGCTGCATTGTCTCACCGACCACCCTGGAAACTATCTGGAATTGATAACTGCTGCCCTACAGTAAAATCTCTACAGTGATCTCATCAGTAGGGCAGAGGTTCAATGCCCACCAGGGTTTTATTTAGCATAGAAGCTCATTTTGGGTAATATTCCTTTTTCATGGAAGACATTTTTAGTCCAGCAGATTAAGTCAATATTCCATGAGAATGGTTCACTTGGTTATACAAGCACCAAATTTTCCATGAATAATGCCTAAGTACTACTCTTTAAGAAAAGCCCGGTATCCACCGGAAATTCCAAGATTACGAACATTTTTTATGATGGTAGTCGCCAAAAATGGGAATTAAGTTTTTTTTAGTGTTTAACTTGAACGCCAAGACATCAAAATGTATGTATTTTGACTTAAGGAAATCAATGACAACATGACTGAGCATTCTGGCCAACAAAATTGTTATGATATGAAGAACATTTGAAGAACATGCTGTCCACAATGTTGTTCCAAAGATACGGCCTTAATCAGATATGTAAGCAGGACAGACATAGTGTTTGACGTCTACTGGAATTTGTGTCTGAAGGCTGAAACAAAGTCAAAACGAGGTACCACCTATTTGAAGAAGCTCCTTGCGAGATAATGACTGAGATTTTTAAGTTTTTGAACAAAATTGTGACATTATGTCTGACCAATGTTGCGAAGTCCTTGCAACCTTGAAGAGGCTGAGAGAAGAATATTCCTGCACGTAAATGAGCAACCTGCCTTTGTGGTAGAGGCAAAAAGACTGCATGGCAACCTGGGATGTGTCTCATGGCTTCCAGAAGCTCAACCAGTACCCACCAGTTACAGATGATGCAGATCTTAGCGTGATCGAGAAGTTTGTTCGTAACAATGTACAACGAGAACCGCACTGCTGATGAGGTTGATGAGGCAAAAGTCCTATGATGCCATTGCACCTACAAGGTCATCCCTTGCGCAGCACGTGAAACGTGATACATACCTAGCTGCCTGTATCTGGGGCCAAGCAACCATATGTCCAATGCATTCAGAGAGCCCTGCCTATTGGGGATGGAGCCAAGAAGGTGAAATTCGACATGTAGTGTGGACGACACTTCGGCCAATTGCTCAGAGCTGTCCACAACTGACAAAACGACTGAATGTCGTGGAAGATGCAAATGCACACTGATCAACACTATGTTTGTTATGAATTGGCTTATATTTAATTTACGCTTGACAACTTTCTAAGTGTATGATTTGATGTCTTGTACTCATAAACCCATATTTTGATACCAAGATCATCCAAATTGGATCTCAATCACAATCCAGGTAGATAGCGGCATTCACTGGCGGCCATCTTGGAAAATGGCGGCCATATTGTAATTTTATCGTGGATATCGGGCTTTTTCGAAAACATAGGTCTTGAAGAGAATGATGCTTGTATCACACACTGAAAGCTGGGCTTTCTCACTTGCCATCAAAAACAAGTGCACTGCACATAATGCTCGTGGATGATTAGCATAACAGCATAGGCCTACAGATTTGGGCCAGATTTGGGCCTTGCATTGCATTGCATACAAATTAATCTTAGCTACTCAAGATGTCAGATACATCTGATTGAATCTGAAATTATTGGGGACAAACTTTTAACTGTTATTATACAATATCCCACATGGCTGAGAACTACATTGAATAGAGCCCACCAGTTATCCAAGCCTCTGTTCAACCATCAAAGAACATTTTTTTAATTGACATTTTTAGCCTCACTAGGTGGATATTGCATGGTTTGTAAAGTTATTCCACGAGAGTCATCAGATGAAAAAAAAGGATACAGGGTTGCAACTAAATCAACGCAAACACTCATGGTTCTAGCACAACCAAACTCAAGACTTGAGAGATTTTTAGGCGGGCAACGCAAACACTAATCACCCACTAAATGATGTGGAACGCTAGCCTGAAGTACTCTGAGCAATCTTGCTTAGAGGTTAAATGTGGAAAAAAGTTACACGAATAGCCCTTTTTTTCATGCACGATCATGAAATGGGAAGCTTAAATGATATCTTTTTTAGAATTACATTAGATAGGCCTAAGTCGGACGGTCCAAAGTACCCTGCAGTATGCTGAGAAATGGATTTGTGTCTGCTACCGGTCATTCTGTATTTTGTAGAGTGGACAAACCCAATGTGACCAAAAGTCATATAAGTCCAGAGGGGAGGAAGATTTCACAGCTCAAACTCACAACATGAAGTTGAAAAACAAACGCTGAAAGCGGTTATACAATCAACGCAGCCTCTCCAAAATAATATGCTTTAAGTGTTCCTGAAGAACACTTTTCCAGTGCATCAGATTTTCCAAGAAAAGGATGCCTGTTGTTAGGAGCGACCGGACAACACCTGTTCTTGGTTCGTGTTAAGAATAAGTAATGTCTCTTTTGTGCCAACACCGTTGATTTCCCGACCGTGCTTCTACGAGCCCAAGTCTCCATAATTCCATAAGTCTCTGTAAAGATTGTAGCTGATGTGAGTTGGAAATGTGGGGGCTCTCTGACACTGTAATCAATCACTGGCTTTACAGCACAGAGGTGGTCTGATGTTTTTAGCAGCGTGCATGAGAACTTTTTTCCACATTTGGAACTGGCATGTGCTGTAGGAAGTTAGGGGGAGTTAATAATTTGTTGATTGTGTGGCCTGGCATTGTTATCCACTGTGATCTGCATGCTAATGTCATGAGGCTGTGCTACCAAATAGAATGTCTGGAAATGGACTAACTAATCAGCGGGTCAAGGGGGTTCATAGCCCAGGCGCAGGTTGTGCTGCATGAAGCTTGGGCTGTGGGCTAATCAAAATTTGTGTTATGACAGCAGAGACAGTTGTGGGATTGTATTTTTCTGTAAAGTAAAAATCAATTGTCAGGTTTTATAATATCTATGAAAGGTAGTTTGGGGAGTTCTAACAACGAGTTGGAGAGTTGGAATATAACCACATGGCAGCATGCATGTTGTCAACAATTTAGTTCCAATGCATGACGATGATCCTTTAGTTTATCTTATCAATTGATGATGCGTTCAGCAGCACAACTGAGGTATCTCGACCAGCGGCAAATATAAAAAGTATATTCAGCTTATTTTATTTAAATGTTCTAACGTTTCAAATGCAAAGTTAAACTACATAGTGTGTGAACATGGGAAATAGCTGACGTTTAAATTTGACTCTTATTTGACAGCGAAATGGCTAAAATGCTCTATAGCTTTATGATTGCGAACCAAATAAAAGTGTCACATTTCCAATATTCCTAATCCAGCGTGAATATTTAATTTGAATAAACTGTTTTACATGTTGAATTCAAAGACATTTGTGTAGTTAGTGAGGTCTTAAACCTACCGGTCCATACATGTAGGGACATATCTCGTAGTGGATTATCATCAGCAGTATCCCGAGCAGAGCGGTCCCCAAAGACCACGCGCACAGGCGCTTTCGGTCCTTCAACAACAACTTTCTGTCTTGCATTCTGTGGAGTTCGTCCCCCTCCGCGTGGGATGTCTGCTTCCCGGGAATGGTCAGCGGCACGGACACTTCTCCCGTATCCCCGCCGTTTCGGTTGACCATGCCACCGCAATTTACAGAGTTCCCCTTGGAGCCGCCGGCCAGGCTGCGGTTAGTCATCTCCAGAGTGCACACGAGAGGATCCCCACCCTGTCTCCACGTCGTCACTGTCCGTTTATCCGTCCCGAGTTTGGGAGGGCATAGTCCGATGGGTGCACTGTGTACCGAGCCCCTCTCTCATTTGTCGCTCATTGAAGTACCGCGCTTAACTTAAACATTTTGCTCGCAACACACCCTCACTTGAACACTCCTACCAAGCGGTGCGGCGCGGTTACGCACACGGATGCGCAATGCAGCCGGCGATGTGGGACACTCTCGATTGTATGCGCTATGGTTTTAATGTTTGATGTCTGATTCAAAGTCATTATTTGTGTGTTTGTATGTGTGTGTTACGAAATGATCTCAGAATAGCTTAAAAAATAAGGCTTTTATGTTTTGGGGGAATCAATTACATATTTATTGATACGCGCTCGGACGGTGATCGGCACGAGTTCACCAGCTGCTATAGAGTGACACCTCGTGGTGAAGTATCCACATCCTTAGACATGTGAGAGATCAAGGTTTCCTGGCAGCGAAGCCGTCCCTGCCTTCATTCTCCGGTCATTTGTATCTCAAAAGGATTTTTCTAGCCTCCACACGTGCTACGTTTAAGAAGGAAGCGCGTCATGACCTTGGGCGGAATGACGCATTCAGCACAGGAGTCCTTCCGCTGCAGTATCCTGCAGGTCATGCTGACGTGCTAATGATGATCATTAACACTCTGAGTGACACTAAGTAGAGTGTCCTCACACCGACAGGTGTTTTCTAGACAAAATACAGATATTCTATGAGAGAAACAATTATAAAGTGCGCCAAAACACGGAAAAGTGTGGACTATTGAACCCTAACCCCAAAAGAACACAACTATTTCAGGTATTCGTGGATTTAATCTGCTGCATTAAGAAGCTAAGGTTTAAGCAAAACAACAGAATCATTTTAAGGTTGCATAGACATAAATACATCATCAAACAATTACAGTATACACGAGTCAGAGGGGGAGAACTATTAAGGATATGTAGCTGTACCAGATTTCCCTATAAGAAAGTTATCAACAAAAAACAACATTCGGCTGTAATCAGGCCACACAAGAGATACATTTGTAAAGCAGCTGAGAGATTTAAGCTACATCAAATCATGTTTATGTTTTGTGAGGTTAGATTTGTAAAATACAGCAGCTCCTGTTCCTACAAAAATATTTCATTGGTTAGCTGTAGGCTGATTGCCATCCACTGGTGGCCAAATAAATTAGAACAAACGACATTGAGATTAGAAAATGTGCATCGGTATATGGTATCAAAATTCTGTATTATATACAAGCAGTTTAGTAAAAATATTATTCTTAAAATACAGATATTGACACTTTTACTCTTGGATTAATCCCCTGTATCACATTTTGGTCAGAGAAACAACAGATTGACATAACAAAAGAAACAACACCTGAAGAGACACATATATTTGGTGTGAAGGATATTGCTGAGATGTCCTGAGTAGTCTGAGAAGTCACCAAAAGTGAAAAGAAAGGAGGAATCATTACAAGTTGTACATGGAATAACTTTGCGCTATACATATTTTAAAAAGTTATCTCGTAGCCTGGAGCTCAGAAAACGGACACGACATGGCTCAGTTGAAGGAGCTTGTGATGCTCCATCCGTCTGCTCCGTCTCCTGGGGGCTCTAGCCCTTCACGGCTGCCCACGGCTGCAGGGTGGCTTGAGGCATAATGAACTGAGGAGATGGCTGCGGCAAGATGTAGTAGCCAAACACCTGCTGGGGTGGAGGCGGCGGAGGCGCGCACACTGTGTTGAGAAACATTGGAGCGCCCTTCTTGTACTGAGGCCACACTGGTGCAGGGTGGTAGAAGTACTGGAGGGTGGCAGGAAGCTACGGATTGGAAAGAGCAGAAGAGATTTGAAGGGATGGTGGAGAGTTTCCAGCATGCTTGTTAAACCCACTTTGTCCATATGGGAGGAGTCAGTGGCATTCATTTCAACAATATACAATGCAGAAACTTGATCACACGGGAAGGAGCTCACATCTGGAATAAAAGCTTCCTTCTTTACTATAAAACAAATCATCACACAATTGGTATGAAAATCGTAAAGTAGTTTTTGGTCAACAATGACGCTCCATGGCAGGGGTGCCCAAACTTTTTTGCCTCGCAAGCTACTTTTCAAGTCGTGGCGATCTACTTCAAGTGGATGACTTGCACTGATGCTTTTTTCTGTTGCTTTTGAATTAAATGAAACGTGTCCGTTAGTAAGTAAGGGTCGCTAATTAGCATTAGCATTGGTTTTCAATTAGCTCCTGCGGTCGACCGTGCATGCATGACGTTGCTTGCAATCGACCTATTGGGCACCCCTGCTCCATGGCATAGAGACAAGCTGTATCCTTGTATATTTTCTCTTTTTGTTCTTTCTGTGGGATTTGGATCGAAAGTGAGAAAAACCTTAAATATTTCCAGGGTTATCCCTTGTTGGTGAGATCACAAAAAACGCGGAATTTACCATATTTCTGACGTATTTAATCGTATTTGCTCCCTCCCCGTGCCGCTTCCGAATCCTGGGAACCATTGGTATCGTGTAGCTGTAGCCTTCTGCTGCATTCTCCTTGACGACAGCCTTCCCTTCTTTTTTCTGCTCTCCCTCCGTCTCGCCGTCCTTTGCCTCCTCTTCTGTGTCACTGGACGCAGTGGAACTACAATCCGAAGAGGTAGCAGAGTGGTAATCGGACGTGTCCAGGTTTACCGAGTCCGCCGAGGAGTCCGCCTGTTTTTCCTCCGGATTGCCGTCTCCAAAACAGGCGATAGTGAACGGCCGGCCGTTCTCTGATGATCTGTGAAGGGGGGAGTACAGTTACTTCCCACGTATGATTCACCGTGACGATGATTCACGGCGACAAAAGTCGTCTTTGTTGTTTCCCTGTGTCTGTGTGTCTCAGCATGCCAGACAGTGACTCACCTCGCACACACCTCCATGGGGTCAATCCACACTGTTATCTCGCGCGGAAAGCATAGTTCGCTGGGCGTGACATCGCTCTCTTCGCATGCCTTCACAATCTCTTCATCACGGGGTACTCCGTTATTTATACGGATGCATCTGTGGAGGATCCAAAGTTACAGATTCTGTGTTTTCTCATGGATCCACACTGTAATACAGTGTTATCTGCTTACCATAAGATAATTCTATGATCCTTGTGTAATTACCTGTATGCTTGACCTTTGCTGGGACTGTCGGGGTACCAGTGGTCATCGTATTTCTTGCATAAAAGTTTCTGTAGCTTCTCTGCAAACAATTCTGCCTTGGCGTCACTGAGCTTGCCACGTGCCACGGCCAGGCTTTTGAGGAAGTTCACTCCAGCCTTCACCTCTCTTTTCATGGTGACTGCGGGAACAGAAATATGAATATATTATGAGACGCCCATTAAATGTTTATGTGCGTACGAGTAACAAGTAGTGCTTTGAGTGTTTGGTAACAGACTGACTTCCTTTCAGTGATACGCGGCGGGTGGAGAGACGGGTGGCAGGAACTTCGCTCGCAGCGATAACAGCACTGTGCGGTTGCCTTTTCTTTTAAATTCAGGGAACCTCTATACGCCGTGCGTTTAAAACAACGCCCCGGCAGTTTACAGCTACAGACATGGCCCTGCGTTGAAAAAGGCTAGACTTTGTATACATGCAAAAACAAGATGCAAACTAGCGCTGCCGTGTCATTTTGGTTGATGCAAATCCAATGAGCTCCCTTTGCTGTTGATCCTCCGATAGCGTGTCTGTTTGGGTTGGTTGCCAATGTCAGGCTGACCAGAAAGAAGATTGTGTCCTACAAAAGGCACTGGTGGCACACTCCACGGCAGAAGTGGATCAGCGTGTTGACATCCTGCCGATGTCCCTGACGGGAAAGCCGTGCCTTGAACTTTGAGGTGCAGACAGTGATTTGTTATTGTGGCTTGAAACCCACCACTGTTGCTTCAGCCCGTGTAATACGTCAAAATTATTATTTGTCGCGGTAAAAGCAGCCACGGCCGCCCCGTAATGACGAGCCTGTGACACAACGAGCAAAAGTAGCAGTAACTTTAAGACCCTAACAAATATGTTTTGCTGTCATCCTCAATGGCAACAACGTTGCAGTCAAACATTAGTCTGCCTGGTAAACAGCGTCCTATAACACACACTCTTCAGGACGTTGCGGTTGCAGCTTACCGGATTTATATAACTCTGCATTCGCTGTAACTCTCTCAGCCACAGACTATGTTCAAACCAATATTCTACACCAGCGAGAGATGCTCTGCAGTCGCTCTGTCTGACCAACACAGACACACAAACAAAAAGGTTTCAGTGGGAAGTTTCAGATTTCTGCCGTGACTGTAAAGAACGTTTAGTCAACCTTGTACTGGTAGTTTATTCTAGTGTTAATGTTGTTCTAAAGCAGTAGAGAGGCCACATTCATTTAAAACAGATACAGCTTTTAGAAAGAAGTGCTATGTAGTCGTCTCAAAGTGTTTGTAGGGTGAAGAAGATGTTTGCACTGAATATAAATCTTCTTGCAAATTACATTAACGAAAAAACAATCTCCAAAAGTTTGAAATATTGAAGCAGCCTGTGAATAAAAAAATAAAAGATACACCACTGCTATAGAAACCTAATAAATACGGCAAATATTTGAGAAGTAGTAACCGCAGTTTGAGATTTCAAACTGCTACGTAACATTGTTAAAATTAGTTATGTTTTCAACGCACTTGCATCACAATCAAATAATGATGCATGTCTCTAAATAGGAAAGGAACCATATAACAGTCGCTGATGGCGTTTGTCTCCTCAGATTACGTGGCAACAGTCTGATCTAATCAGAGGTCAAGTGATGCCCTTAAAAAAGCCACGACGACCAGTGTCCACACATGTTTACACTGCGTCTGTTTGCCGAACAGTGACCCGGCTGATATTACGCGTGAAGACAACAACTTGACCCCTCTGAATAGTCGGTTTCATTTATAAAGCCCACTATTGGAAATTGGATTGAGGGGCTTTTTCCCTTTTGGAAAAGGAAAGCAAATCCGTTAACAGGATCACACACAACCTGTGTGTTTGGGTGTTTAACTGAGCAAAGGCTCCTGTTCTGTTGCTGTACTGCGTGTTTAGTGTACCGCAACTTCCTCAGATCACGTTTCTTAAAACAGAATTGCTTGTGGAAAATGTGATTGACACTCGCAAGTGCAGAGGTTTCAGCTTCTAGCACAGTTTCGTCTGTATTCACTTTGAGTGACGACGAAACTTGTTCTGGCATGAAACTAAAAGTGGACGAAACATGGTAACTGAAGGCACAACTGTGTGATCCACGGAGAAAGTGTGTGTGTGTGTGTGTGTGTGTGTGTGTGTGTGCTGATGACTGTTACATCAAGAAAAGGAGAAGAATCAAACGCGGTATTGTACTCGTTCTTCTGTTTCCACTGCGATAAAGGAAGCTTCCTGCTTCATACTGGAAATAACGTATTCGGGTTTTCTGACAGCGCGGAAAGTCCCCTCCAAATGGAAATCAGTAAAAACACGCAGACGGACATAGTTTCGGATTACTTGAAGTAACGTTATCCAGTTTATCGAGATGGAATATAAAATAATACGGCATTGAAGCTTCCCTTTCAAAAACAACTCTTATTTTGAAACGGTAAGATTAGCATGAGCCTTTATAGAAACCGTTTAGAACAAAAGTATTGGGCAAATCGTTTATTGAGTAAAACCAAATAAAAATAAACCGAGCGAGGCACGAAATACATAAAATGATAACCGACATCAAAGCTGCAACAGTAACAAAACACAACGGCAACAAATTACTTGTACCACAGAAAATGACGCTTTCCAATCAAATGAGACACAACAAGCGTACCCGTGATTAAACACGACGTGTACTCACGACTATACGTGTGCGGCTCCAGGGTACTCGTCGCTTGTCCTCGCCTCTTGTCTCGTGGCTCGTCCTCGCGGGTGTGTGGGACGTATTATGGTCAGCACATGTTGCTTCCTCGTTCTCAGCTCAGCGCTCCATGCTGCTGCAACACAAACGCAATTACCGTCAGCGTGACTCACTTCCGTTACTCGGGGCCGTGAGCAAGCGCTGACTGGCCCCTGCGGCCCAAATATGGGCAGTCGGAGTAAACGGGGACTCTTTCACTATGCTATGAAGATATCTGGTGGAAGGGAATACTCGTGTTTATTCTATAGTGTGGCTGTGAGATGTTACAGGGGTTTTAACATCTGCAGCAGTGGTGAGTTCCCGAGATGGTGACAAGTTTGCCTGCTAGGTTTTGATAAATCGGGTAAAAACAAAACTCAGCTGAAATTATCGAAGTCTATATTATTAAAACCCTTTATATATTTTCTGCAGAAAGCGCTTAACGCCTCAAAAGCAGAAAAAAAAAACTTGATGTGATGTCATAATTTAGGGTTATTGCTGATGCATTCATCTGAACTACTGAACTGAAAAGTTTCTCCTACCCAGGACCTGACTGTTAACTTCGGCAACTCCGATCCTGTAGATACACGCTTTACAACACCAGGAGAATACGTCACCTTCTCACTACTCATTCCTCTCCCGTCTGGACTACTGCAACTCCCTCCTGGCAGGTCTCCCTGCTATCGCCATTCGACCTCTGCAGCTCATCCAGAATGCAGCAGCTCGTCTGGTCTTTAACCTTCCAAAATTCTACCACACTACTGCACTCCTCCACTCTCTTCACCGGCTACTGGTACCAAGCCGTGAATGGATCGGGTCCAGCTTACATCCAGGACCCGGTCAAACCAGACATCCCAACACTCCGCTCTGCATCCACCAAACTGCTTGTTCCTCCCTCGCTGAGAGCAAAACACTTGACTAGATCACGATTCTTTGCTGTCCTGGCTCCGAAATGGTGGAACCTCGACTAAAAAATCCGCTTATTTGATGAAATTGCACTTTCTTGTTTGTTGTTCTTCTGTGTTTATATCCTTATGGTTGAAATGCACTTATTGAAAGTCGCTTTGCATAAAAGCGTCAGCGAAATGACATGTAATGTAATGTAATAATATCTAAGCTATGTTTTAATGTATTATGATCATAATAGAGAAATGGTCAATGGTTTATAGTTAGTATAGTATAGTATAGTATAGAGGCTGTAACTTCCTACATCGGCTTCTGTGAGGACAGCTGTGTACCATCATGCACCAGGGTGAGTTACAACAACGACAAACCCTGGTTCACAGCGGAACTCAGAACACTACGCCTGCAAAAGGATCAGGCATTTAGGAGTGGGGACAAAGACTTGTACACAGAGGCAAAATACAAGTTTAGCAAGGCGGTGAGAGATGCTAAACGACTGTACTCTGAGAAACTCCAACAACAGTTCTCAGCAAGTGACTCTGCTTCGGTTTGGAGAGGCCTCAAACACCTCACCAACTACAAGCCAAAAACCCCCCACTCCATGAATGACCTCCGCCTGGCAGACGAGCTCAATGAGTTCTACTGCAGATTTGAAAGACAATGTCCTGACCTCCCTGGAGACATGCCACGTACCAGCCTGCTTCAAGGCCTCCACCATCATCCCTGTCCCCAAGAAGCCCAGGATCACAGGACTCAATGACTACAGGCCCGTCGCCCTGACCTCTGTAGTCATGAAGTCTTTTGAACGGCTAGTCCTGTCCCACCTGAAGTCCCTCACCGACCCCCTCCTGGACCCCCTGCAGTTCGCCTACAGAGCCAACAGGTCTGTGGACGATGCTGTCAACATGGCCCTCCACTACATCCTCCAGCATCTGGACTCCCCAGGAACCTACGCCAGGATCCTGTTTGTGGACTTCAGCTCTGCTTTTAACACCATCATCCCGTCTCTGCTGCAGGACAAACTCTCCCAGCTGCACGTGCCCGACTCCACCTGCAAGTGGATCACAGACTTCCTGTCTGACAGGAAGCAGCACGTGAAGCTGGGGAAACATGTCTCAGCCTCTCGGACCATCAGCACCGGTTCCCCCCAAGGCTGCGTTCTTTCCCCTCTGCTCTTCTCCCTGTACACCAACAGCTGCACCTCCAGTCACCAGTCCGTCAAGCTCCTGAAGTTTGCGGATGACACCACCCTCATTGGACTGATCTCTGGTGGGGATGAGTCCGCCTACAGGTGGGAGTCTGACCATCTGGTGTCGTGGTGCAGCCAGAACAACCTGGAGCTCAACGCTCTAAAGACAGTGGAGATGGTTGTGGATTTCAGGAGGAACAGAGCCCCACCCTCCCCCATCACCCTGTGTGACTCCCCCGTCACTATTGTGGATTCCTTCCGTTTCCTGGGCTCCATCATCACCCAGGACCTCAAGTGGGAGCTGAACATCAGCTCCATCACCAAGAAGGCTCAGCAGAGGTTGTTCTTCCTGAGGCAGCTGAAGAAACTCGACCTGCCAAAGACGATGATGGTCCACTTCTACACGGCCATCATCGAGTCCATCCTCTGCTCCTCCATCACCGTCTGGTACGCTGCAGCCACAGCCAAGGACGAGGGCAGGCTTCAGCGGGTCATCCGCTCTGCAGAGAGGGTGATCGGCTGCAATCTGCCATCCCTGCAGGACTTGTTCGCTTCCAGGTCTCTGAAGCGAGCTAAAAAGATCGCGGCCGACCCCTCCCACCCCGGACAAAAACTGTTTGTGCCCCTTCCATCTGGCAGGAGGCTGAGGTCCATCAGGACTACGACCTCCCGCCACACGAACAGTTTCTTCCCGTCGGCAGTCGGGCTCATCAACAGAGCCCGGTCCCCCACTGCCTGACTATAACACTCCACCGGTCACTCCCCCTCATACTGCACATGCCACTTTAACTGCAATTCATCACTTTGTCACTTGTCACTTTGTCTCTTGTCTGTTACTTGTTTGTTAGTGCACTTTATGCTTAATATTTTTCAACTTTTTAATATTTAAAATTTGTTTAACTTTATTCCCCTGTTTTATACTAACCCATAGCCTTAGCCTTATTCTTACTAACCCATTGCATTAGCATTTCATTCCACTTTATTTTATTACCTGTGCACTGTTGTCTTGTCTGTCTACTGTCGCGCACTAACCGCCAAGACAAATTCCTTGTATGTTTGACATATTTTGGCTAATAAATGTTTCCTGATTCCTGATTCCTGATTCCTGATAGTTCTCAAAACCGAATCTGCAGATTGAGTAATAAAGCAGCGAAGGACTGGAGTAAAAAGGCTCCAATATTTCTATCTGAACTAGTGGAGTATAGCAGTAAGGAAAATACTCAAGTAAAGTACCTCAAAGTTGAACTTTATTATTGACATCTTTCTCAATACTGTCATTAAAGCCAGTGTTTTTTTCAATAACCTGGGTAAATATAAAGATTTCCTATGGATGACTTACAACCAATAAAGTGCTATCAAATTCAACTCAAATAAAGTTATTGCACTGGTAGTACAGAGAACATTTTTAGAAAGTGGTCCCACCTTTAGGGCCATATCTGTTACTCTTTAAAGAAATCAGTTCAGCAACACAAATCAAGAGTACTCCATTACATGTAAAAGTGTTGTATTACCAGCTTGATGTCTTGTTTTGCATCGAGGTTAAAAAAAATCCCAAGTTGCTCAAATTGCTTTATGTTATAAATGGTCTAAAGTCAAAGCAAACTCATAACATAAAATGGTCCCTTTCACAGTGTTTCACAGTGTCTAACTAATGTGCCCATCGTGCATCAAATGTTTCTCATTTCAAATAAAATGAAAATGAAATTTTTCTTAACAAATTTAGGAAATAAGTAAAATACAAAATACACTACCTCAGTAAATGTAACGTTTGACCACTGCTTCCTAAATTAGTATCTGTGTTAATCAGTTTGTTGCATTTATCTCCTGACCTGCCAGTGTGATTATCTCAGTGACCACTAGAGGGCAGGCTAGTTTTCTTTCTTAAATTTCTTCCAGTTTTATGTTGTTGTGATATGTTTCTGTCCTTTAGAAACTTTAGTATCTAAAGCGAATTGCTCTTCTTTTCTCTTTCAGTCTCCACTGCTCAAGCCGTCTCGGTTTCAACATAACCTACTTACCTTCAACTACTGGACCTGATCATCCAGTCCATGTTGTCTTCTGCATCATATGTGTTGTTTTCAATTTACACCACGGTTGACTTGAATATAGACATTCATGTGTTATAATTAATCATTGGTGCTTTTACATATATTCATACTAAATTCATACCAAAATAATTACTACTTATCCTGTCTAATTTTAGCTTATGTTGTCCTTCTCCGTGGCTGTTTTTTTATTTCTTGTAAGAGAGATTCACCTAAACATAATATTCCATGTATGTGCATGATTACTTGGCCAGTGAAGATGAATCTAATTTCTCCATAAATTCTTGCATGTTTATTATCTCTTTAATTAAATTATCTCTATCATCCCTCCGTTTTATGTCAGATATAACATTTGAAATATTGTGTTTGTAATTTAGTGTTAGTTAGTGTGAGTACACTGCGGACACACCGGGTGACAATTTTTCTTCACTGCACTCATTCCTTGTCTCTTGAGTAAGATGCTAACTGAAGAGTGAAATATTGCTATGAGTGTGTACGAGAGGGATATGAATAGACAGATGGCAAGAAAGAGACATCACTTGGATAAGAAATCTAGAAAGTGTTAAAGAGTGGGTGTCTTTGGTATTTATTAGCATTGTTTTGACAACTTATGGAAAATGAATGGCCTTCTCTCTTTTTTTCTTGTGTCTCTCTCTTTCTCTCTCTTGCTGTTGTTGACCTCCTTCCCACTCCAGTTCCTTGAGTCCAATCTCATAAGGCAACTAATGTTGCTGACTATAAGACTGATTGCATTACAGTTCCTCCATCCATCCATCCATTGTCAAACCGCTTATCCTGCACACAGGGTCGCGGGGGGGCTGGAGTCCATCCCAGCCAACTTCAGGCGATAGACAGGGTACATCCTGGATTGGTCGCCAGCCAATCGCAGGGCCACACAGAGACAGACAACCATTCACACTCACATTCACACATCTACGGGCAATTTAAAGTCCCCAATTGACCTGATCCCCAGAGCATGTCTTTGGACTGTGGGAGGAAGCCGGAGAACCCGGAGAGAACCCACGCAGACACGGGGAGAACATGCAGACTCCACACAGAAAGGCCACTGGGCGGAATCGAACCCAGGACCTTCTTGCTGTGAGGCAACAGTGCTAACCACCACGCCACCGTGCCGCCGCATTACAGTTCCTTTAGAAAATAAATTGAATGACCTCAAAGAGTCACAGGTCCTAATGTTTAATATCTATTTCTAATTTAGCTTCTGCACAACTTTCTCCAACTGAAAACCGTTGCCCTTCCCTGTCCATCTGTCATTTATATTCTCACAAGTGTCAGGATCCTGCAGTTAAGCATTGGAAATGAAACCACTTGACCTCGAAATCTGATCGTTCTTTTTCAGGAACAGCTTCTCTCTGAACGCGTCTGGCGGTATCAATGAAGCCCACACGCATACACCACATGCAGCCTGCTCGGCCTTTAAAAACATATTGATTTCTCTCTTTTGCAGGGAGCTTAATGTGATCGATCGGCCGGGCCCTTTCAAGATCAGCGCCAGTATAAGCTTCTCTTCCCCTAACACACATGCGGCCTCTTTCCCCCCCCCCAGGTAATGACTGTCCTTTGGTTCGGGGGAATGGTTTGTCTGCATTAAGGGAGAGAAGTGTTTCTCTTGGCGCGCAGTCCATCTGCGTCCTCGCCGGCCCTCAGTAATGTGGTTGAGTACGGAACCCATATTTTCCTTTTTGACAAAAGGTATGAGAGAATGCAGCACACACCCCCTTGACCTTTATCAACTGCCCATCCCCCCATTGCTTCCCCTCCTCCCGCTATCACTGGGTCGATACCTATTTGTATTTCCAATGCATTAGACACCGCTGTCTTTTGAGATTGAAAAAGTTGGCTTTTCTCAGTTTGGCGGCCAAGACATTGTGGACATTTCTTTTCAAAGCAGATTAAGACAAGTTATTTTACATTCATCTGTCTGGTTTGCTCTTTAAATAAGACACCTTTTTTATTTGTTCATTTATTCTGATGCTCAATTAAATATGCTCACAGTACCAGCAACTATAAGTATACATATTGTCTGCGTGTGTGTTTTAGAAACAAAAGGAACAGCTCTTCACCTGATGCATGAGCTCCATGAAACAGTGCTTTTTCAATCGGGGATCTCAACCCTCTGAGAGGTCAAAATAATTAAAACAAATCTAAGAAGCTATTAGTAAAATAAAGGTTAAAATTAATAAAGGGTGAAGGAAATGATGTTACTGATGAGCAAACAGTTAATTTCTGCACGAGCACCTACCTAACATTGTCATCCAATAGGAGTCTCTGTAGCTCCGTTTCAATTCCCAAGAGAAACGTGCAGGTCCTTAGCTGCTAAATAACCTGCTAAATTCTTACAAAGATAAGAATAGTTTCAAATATTCAGATGGAGGAAGTCTTCCAGCCTCACTTCAGCTTTGCAGACGGCCTTTCAGTGTTACGGCTTGAGTGGTGCATGCCATGTAGACATTTCACCTCCTCTCATTCTTTCTCTAGCGATAAGATATGTCTTCTATATGTAGCCGGGGAGGAAACTCTACTCCAGGTTCACTTGGGGGTTGCGAACCACCAGTTGACCGACTGGTAGGTTGATTACAGTTTTTATTGCTAGTTTCCTTCCTTTTAGCTAAAGCGCTATTGCTGCCGAGAAGATGACTATAAATTGTGTTCGGTAGGTTTGATTCTTTGTTTCTTTTTAGAAGTGCTTGGTAGCAGCGTGGCTGCCCGGACGGTGGTGGGTTCGCTGAGCGGGCCTCTCACCTGCTCCTCACATGCTCAGTTGTGTGTTTGATGGGATATATCTTGCTTTACATATTTTCTAGGTATTTGCATGCTTTTGATTTCTTGCCCCGCTGTGGTCCACTAGCACTAGCGCTCCATTTGTTTATTAAAGCCCATTTGTTTATGTTTATAATTACAATTTATAAGAATTGGTTTAATAAATTGCTTAGCGTGATTGTTATATGTTTCTCATTACATCACAGGTCATTTGAGCTGACGCTTTTATCCAAAGCAACTTACATAGCATTTTTAACCCATGGCTTTTACATATTTGCCCAGGGAGCAATTAGGGGTTAAGTGTCTTGCTCAGGGACACTTCAACATAGGACATGGAGCAGCCAGGATTTGAACCGCCAACCTTGCAGTTCCCAGCACACCCTCTCTACACCTGCGCCATGTTTAAATGTTGTAATCTCGGGGGAATTCTTTGCCTCAGTCCGTTAACTTTGGTCACCGGAGCCCTGCGGTACTGGTAGTTACTACATCTTTATAGTTCCAAGCTTTAGACAGGATCAGATTTCCAGGGATTTACCTATATTTCTGTAGTTCTCCTTTTGTTCACATAGTTGCAGTCTAAACACAGCATACATCACTGCTCGAACCATCTTATAAGTGCATCGTAATTAAACAATACAATATAACAAATGATAAAAGAGTACAAGTAGTTGATGACTCAATAATTGTAAAATATGAATACAACAAACCTCACTTGCATTTCCTGCTGCTACACAGCTGCTGCCTTTCTGTTCTGTATTTTAAGTTCTCTGCATTTCCCTCTCGGCTTGCTGATGTATTGAAACTCAAATGTGAAACTGCCCTTTGCTTCAGATTATTCTTAAAATATGACTTGGGATTTGCCAGAGCTGTCATTATTATCTCGTTGTGTGCCATAGCTGTGAAGACCCCTTGAGTTTATTATTTTCCTTCTTTTTGTCTTTTAGGCCGCCACATTATTTTTCTATTGCTTAATCTTAATGTCTTCTTGATAAATGCCCTCCGAGACTTTATTATTCTACATGTTTGTTAAACTCCTGTACAAACTGCCATGTGTAAATGCTCAGGCCCTACACGTGTAATGTTGAACTGTTTATTTATTTTAGACCTGCGCCGTAAGAGTTGTCGGGTGGGTCAGTTCCCCGGGTTCCCCCACTGGCTCGCGATCGAAACCTGCCAGAGCTCCTGACTCCCCTCGGCCTCCCGCTCCGCTGTCTCAACAATTAAATCAGTCAAACTGAGTGGACTTCCCACTCTTTCCTTCCCATGAAAAATAGATAAAAGCATCGGCTGATCTAATAGTCCACTTAATGACCCACATCACAAAGGAGTTGTCTTATAACAAAATATTTCACCTGCGTGTCAGCAGTTGCCATGGAGATTTTTGTGCAGATATGTGAAGCTCGGCTTCACGGTCTGACCTTAACCTTGCACTTTCTCAATTGAACGCTTTCATGATGTGGCGAGCACACAGACGTTCTTTATACCACAAATCAATATTTCAACAGCAGTCTTCTCTACGATACAAACACATTGGCCCTTTCATGTTGATACATCCTTTAAATGCAGAAAGAAAACTTGGATTCACATATTTTGTTGATGTATATCTTTTTTTACATCTTGTGCCTTTTTTTCTCCAAATCTTCCATAGCCTTAAACAACCGTTTACAAACCTTTCCTCCTCCCCCATCTGCCCCCCCCCCCCCCCCTAATCCCCCTCGTTGCCCCCCTCTTGCTCTCTTGCTCCCTCTCCTTGCAAGCTGTGTCTCTTTCCTGTATGCTGGGGGGCCAGCGGAGGGGAAGTACACAGAGAAAGAAAAGCACTGAGTTCAAGTGCACGATCTTAAAGACACAGCTGGCTTCAACATCGATGGGGAATATGACACGGGGAAAACAATGGTACAACGGGGGAATAATGACGTATTGATAAGACACAGGGACGGTATGTGGATAATGTCACATACAGAGGGGGTTTAGAAAGAAATGTGAATAGGAAAATGGAGAAAAATGTCCCCACCCCTTTTTTTTCTCCATGTGTACTCCTCCTATTCCCTCCCAGCTTCCTTCAATTTCTGTCCCTCCCTCTTCTTCATTCCTTCCCTCCATGCATGCACACTCTCTAACACACTCTCTAACACACGCACACACACACACACTGATACATACACGATGACTGATGCCTTCTCTTGCATTCTTCGTTTTCTCACCTCTCGCTGCACCACTGAGACTTTTGTGTGTTTGTCCTCCCTTTATAGCACACAGCTGAACGGGTTCTGCACAGTTCCAGCACAACCTCTTGAGGAAAAGTACGAACACTATACTTTTCTTCCAACCGTTTATCTCTTTCGTGCACAAGGCACGTTTTTCTTCAAAGTCCTTAGTGTGGAATGGTGAAGAAAAGAGAAACGGTGCCTGGTGAAGAGGAGATGAGGCAGCAACGGATAACATTTGACAATGGGGTGAAATGGAGATGCATGTCAGGAAGGAAAGCTTGAACTCCGGAGTGAAGAAGAGGAGACGGGCAGAAGGAATCAAGTTGGAATCGAGAAAGAAGCGCGGGAAAAGGTAAAGAAGAAGACTAAAAAGGCTGATCCATACAACATAATTCGCATGCATTGTGTAATTTTCATCCTTGAGCTGTTAGAAAAGTAATTATTCCAAAACAGGATTCCTATCTTATTATTGCTATCTCGCTGCTCTTCATGCCGATGTTCCCGTTGTGCTTATCTAAAGTCATTTTCCTTCCACCCACTCCTGTTGGAACATTTTGCCCGTCTCCACGCTTCTCCCCTAACTCCGCCGTGCCTTTTATCCACTGTAGTTGCTTGACTCAATATGTGCATTTGTTAAAAGATCTTTGAAGGGTTTAGTCTGCTTATTGAAGCCCGGTGGTGCTATTATTCTGCATGGATCAAGGTATTTGTAATTATTTATATATATATATATATATATATATATATATATATTCTGTTAGGCAGTGAATTTGTTTCCCTTGCTCTGGAGTTTCAGCTGATATGAAACAGTTGAAAAGATGCTGATACTATTTGAATAATTTGTCCGTCACCCTCCCTACTCTGGAATTGACACGTCCCACCCTCCACATCCCCTCACTGTTTGTTTGTAGACTCGGTATGCGTCCCTGAACTCTATCTCACAGCTTCCCATAACTCCTCTCTGAATAAGCTTTGTGCCCTTGCTGCTCTCACTCCCTCCTCGCCGCCGCCACGGTCTCAGCTTTGCCTCCATTGTTTAATATCGACAAGTTACTGTTGTCCTCTGCACGTGCGATCGAGGACCTGTGATATATTCTTAGTCTATTCATGCGTTTAAACAGCCATCTCCATGGAGACCTGATGCAAGCTCTCCGTGTCCGTACCCCCCTACCGCATGCAAACAAACTCACAAAGACACCCTGCTTATCTCTCTAACAGGGTGTGCCATTTGGCAAAGTGCAGAAATAGTGGATCGGATGGCAATAGCGGGATGATGGTGGTCTTGATAGATACGCATGAATGCACGTTTCACTGGTGGCTTAATACTGGAACCAAAGACTCCATAAGACAATCTGAATTATTGGTAGCCGGTCTGCATCCATAGATGAGATTTAGCATAACTGTGCTTCATAACAGTTATATACAGTTATTTAAACATGTATTTGGGGTTGGTGGACCTAGTTGAATATAAAAGAAACAACACGCATACATTTTATTCTTGATGTTCCCATGGTCAACTACAGAGATGCACATTGGTCCCCCATTCGAGATTAATTAAAATAATGAAATAACTTAAACCAGTTTACTTTAAATAAATCCTTTAGGAGTACATATTCCAGCTCACTCTGAATATGGAGAATCAATGTATCTTACAGACTATCAATTGGTGTAGATATTGTCTTGATTAGTCGATTAAAAGTGCCCATTTTTGTTCAACCAACAGTATGTAAGCGCAATGTCTAATAGCTATCACAGTAATGGGTAAACCAGTAAATTGAATAAGTCAGGGCCTCTAAAATCTTTACCTGTTTTATCAGTGTAGTTAATGATTTATTCCTGTCAATTGACCAATTGTTTTAGCTCCGTATGATCGAACATACATGCAGGAAGAATACTGACCTTGACGCCTGACTTGCATCACCTTATTGTGAAACTTTAGCCTGCAAAATTGAAAGTTTGTTTGGTATCGTCATGTAGCACGTCGCTCTTCCAGTTTAGAGGACGTCTGTTTGCCTCCTGTGGTCCAAATACACCTGACAGCTGACGCTGTCTTTTGGTATCAGAACTTTGTGTTTTCAGAGCATGTTCCGAGCACAAAGTTCTGACCACTGATCGTTTTGTCTAAGGCCAATAACAAATTCCTTAATAGGACATGCCTATAATTCAAGATTAATGTCATACACCATATTTTTGAATTGCTGTGTCACATTTTATGAATCAAATATGAGGTTTCATAATTTTTTGTATAAAATGTTCAAATAGAAAATGGCAGATTGTGGCATGAAGACCATCTTTCATATTAGAACCCTTAAAGCATGTGAGTTTTTTAAGCATTCAGTACATTTCTAATGAACAGCTTTTGTATAATAATCCTGAATACATTGGTAGAGATAATGGATCACCCTGGCGTATTGCACTGACAATGAACCTATTGGTTATTTAAAGCCTTTTCTACTTGAGGGGCGCCACTTACTGATCCCGGCACATTTAAACTTTAGAGTGCGGAGGAAGCATTGATGTGTTTCACTTTATAAAACATAACCCTGCCTTCGCTATCAATTATGTAGCTCGGGTGTGAAAAGGGCTGCGTGCATGCAGCAGGATCCCGCACAGAGAGAAAGTATTGCACCATGTGACCGCTGTGGATGTACTAACACTCTCACAGTATCAGCAAGCGCTATTCCCCCCGGACCCGGTGTTCTAGTTGCATCAGTGTTTGTCAGGCCTTCTCTAGGACATGGGGGGGTGGGGGGGTAAGAGAGTTCTATCTAAATACCCATAGGGCTTCTCTAATACAAGCAAGTCAATAATATTTCTCGCACTTAAGTTTCTCCTGATTAAATCTCTAAATGACGTTCTTGTGCATTGTTACAGTCGTTACAGGAGGTGCATGTTGTTGTATTAGTGTCATATGCTACGTAACGTTGTTGCTATATGGAGATATGGAGGCCTTTTCTTTTGCATTGAGGTATACAAAAATGTACTTTTTATTGCATTAATCTGGCAGCTATAGTTATATATGATAATCCTGTAAAACATTTTTAGTTTAAACTAGTCAGAGGTACAATAATCACATGAGCTTTCATTACTTATACATACTTACTTATACTTCCGATGCATCCTGGATGCAGAATATTAAATTGTTATTGAGTCATTTCTTCTGTAAGTTATGGAAGATCCAGATGCTACTATCTGTGAACCATCTTTCAGTAACCTAGTTGATGTCCCTCGTGCATTCAGAAGGACACAGACTCTGTGAGGTGGGGGTTAATATTTGCATGGTGTAGGAAAGTGTTTGGAGGCAGCAGGGAGAATTCCCCAATTCTGCATTAGTACTTCTCACCGTTCCCTCTTGCCTCGCCATACTATCTCGTTCCCCTCTGTTCCTGCTGTTTTTCCTCCTGCGTCTCCCGCTACATTTCATCTCCGTCTTTGTCTTGCACTCTTTTTTTTCTCTCTGTCTCATCTTTTTCTTCTATGTTCTGTCTGGTGTTTTGATCCTCCCCATCTCCCCTCTCCTTTCAGGCTCCTTTAGATGTTTCAGAGACTGTCAGGAGTTTTGGGTGAAAAGAGAGAGATAGTGAAACTGTGCGTAAGTTGGACAATTCTAGCACAGCTCTCTCTCCTGCAGCCATAGTGTCTTCGTAAGTATGTCAGTCATGTATGATTTATGGAGCAGGTTCCTGAGGAAAGATCTCTGTTGATGTCATCAGGCATCGTCTGTTTATAACTTCTGGTGAGGACCAGGACGTTGAAGCAGAAAATAATTATCACCCAATTACTGGTTATCAGTGTCGTATCAGAAATTGGCTGTCTTACCGGAGTTATATCTCAATGCAAACTGTAAGAACAATTGAAGATTAAACGGCTAAGCCATATACTGCATCAATTATAATCCAAAATGTATTTTTGTAAGTTTAACGTTTTGTTGTGCTCTAAATTAATGATTGGTATATTTAACATTTCTTAAAAAAACAAAACCTTTTAACATTTTAGTAGTTTGAATAAAATGATTCATTTTACATTAAATAAAAATACAGATTTGATAGAGCCCTAAAATGTGTACAAGCTTTAAAATAAACTGGTTTTAGGTTTTACTACGTCTCCTCTGGCGACGGCATTCACAAGGCTTTCCATTATGCTTTGCAGTGATGCACATGCGCTGCAGTTGCGCCGCAGGTGTCGCGTCACACCACGACACCCTCAAGTGAGTCGGGCACAGAGGAGGGAGGAGAGGTTGTGTGAATGAGAGGAAAGTGAAGATGATGGCATGAAGGAACAGACGATCGGCATGGAAGACACAAGTGAAGCTTAAAGGAAGAGGGAAGGGTTTGATGCTGGAGAAGTGGGAGCATGTGAATAAAGGAAGGTGAAAGGGAGGCGGAGCTATCGTTTGTGTTTGTCTGCTCAGTCAATCATGAGAAAATGCGTTCGTGGTTCAGGGCACATCATCTCCTAAGCAATGAAAATTCAGTCTGTGTGGTGGGCAGCATCACAGGTTAACGTGGTGTAAAAAAATTACACACTATTAGGCTAGAAGAGATATCGCCGCAAACCGACTTCTACACAGACTCATAAATCAGTACTGGAAGTAAGTAGCTATTCTGGTCAGCGTGGGTCGTCGGGGGTCACATCTGTAAGATGAAAGCAGAGGCTGTGGTTGGTTGCTTCCACAGAGAGATGCAAAGGTCACGAAGCGGCCCGAGCTCAAACACCAGACTCATTGTTCAAGTTCAAGGTAAAGCCGAATGGGGTTTTCATTCAGTTAGCTTGACCTTCTGTCCTCCTACAAGTTGCTGCTTTTAAACAGACATAATCAAACGGTGTCCGTGGCAACATCTGACGGTTGTGTCGTGCTTTTATAATTGAAAACTAATTATGGTCCGTTTAATTTGTTTTTTCTTTGTATGAGCATTTGCCATGTCAGCGCTGGTTGTTTCTTTTGAGTCTCTTTCAAGATAGTGTGTGTGTGTGTGTGTGTGTGTGTGTGTGTGTGTGTGTGTGTGTGTGTGGACGCACTCACACGTGTCCGGTCTTCGGGTGTATCCAGTCTCTTCTCGCTCAGACAATGAACAAGGTCACAGCCAGAGGGTCAGATGTCAGGCTGGCGTTTCCCCCTCCTGCTCCTCCTCTAGCAGCCCCCCGCCCGCCTCTCTGTTGTGTCTGTTCAGTCGTCAGCTCATTAACTCCTCGCAGGGGATTTCCTGTTCGCCTCCTTGTTCCTGTTGAAGCTGGACGAGCATATTGGCTCTTTCTTTTACAAAATATGAATAATTCAATCTTTCATAGTTATTTTGCTGAATATGCAAGCTAACTGCCTAAAAGTTGTAACTACACACTTTGAATTACAAA